AGTAGAGATGGTGTTTCACCATGTTGCCCAGGTAGCATTCCAGTGTGTGGATACGTGGCAAGCCATTTATCTGATGATGGATATTTGAGTTGTTTCCATCCACCCAATATGGAAATATCATTCCATATTTGTTTTTGGGGAATATTCAGCCAAGTCACACTCCTAAATGCTTCCCAGCCTTTGCATGGGCTGTGTTGTCTGCTAGGCACTCCTCCACCGTCTTCTTTTCCTAGCAAAGCCCAATTCATTAAAAAATTCCCAAATCAGATGTCCAGTCCTCCAGGCAGCCTTCCTGGGTGCCCGGGAATAGGCTCCAAGGGTCTGTTTGGCTGAATGGGAGGGAGTGGCATCCAACAAGGGCTCACCTTGGCATTCTGTCCCAGCTTTGTGTTCCAGGGCCATGGTCTTTGACCTTGCGGGTGGTGGGGACAGGATCACAGAATTAGCCACGTTAGGCAACAGGCCACAGCGTCCCCACCACTGTTATCTAATCAGCTGCCTGGTCTAGCGTGGTAGGAAAAAGTCATCTTTCTGATCAAAAGCAGGGCAAAGTTCATCCCTTAACCCGGGTGGAGGTAGGGCAGAGGAGGAAGGGTCACTTCATGACTGCATGGCTGACCCTTCGATGCCCGGGGTCTTCAGACCTTGTTGGAGGCACTTTACCTCCACGGATTCACTCCAACCTCACAGCAGCCCACCAGGTGATAGTCTCCTATGCCCATTGTATGGGTGTGGAAACCGAGACTTGGAGAAGGTCAGTGACTCATCCCTGGTCACCCAGTTGGATGGAGCTGCGCTGGGTCTCTGAAGATTCCCTTTGGGCGGTGCTGGATGAATGTGCTGAAACCCAGGGCCCGAAAGCCTCATCTGTTAGAGAGAGAGAAAGAGAGAGAGACAGAGACAGAGAGAGAGAGAGACAGACAGAGACAGAGAGAGAGAGACAGAGAGACATGCAGCTGGATCCTGTGACTCCTTGGTTTAGCCCCAATTCATCTTCAGAACTGGCCAAACCGGCCAGGGGAGGAGGAAAGCCTGGTGGGATTCCAAAGGACAAAGGCGTCTCTGGCCCAGTGGCCTCTGCTGAGAAACCAGGGGGGAGACGGAGGCCGCAAAGGGGAAGTGAGGCTGTGTGTGTGTGTGTGTCTGTGTGATGGAGTCACCTCTGTCACCCAGGCTGGAGTGTACTGGTGATCACAGATCACTGCAATCTCTGCTTCCTGGGCTCAAGCCATCCTCCCACACAGCCGGGACTATAGGCACCCACCACCATACATGGTTGGTTTTTGTGTTTTGCTTTGTTTTGAGATGGGAGTCTCGCACTGCCACCCAGGCTGGAGTGCAGTGGCGTGATTGCGGCTCACTGCAACCTCCGCCTCCCGGGTTCAAGCAGTTCTGTCTCAGCCTCCTGAGTAGCTGGGACTACAGGCGTGCGCCACCATGGCCACCTAATTTTTTTGTATTTTCTAGTTGAGATGGGGTTTTACCATGTTGGCCAGGATGGTTTAGATCTCCTGACCTCGTGATCTGCCTGCCTCGGCCTCCCAAAGTGCAGGGATTACAGGCATGAGCCACTGCGCCCGGCCGATTTTGTATTTTTTGTAGTGCTGGGGTCTCCATGCTCAGGCTGGTCTTGGACTTTTGGGCTCAAGTGATCCTCCCACCTCAGCCCCTCAAAGTGCTGGGATTCCAGGTACTGGAATCTGCTTTTTAAAAAAGCAACTTTATTAAGGTGTGATTGATATAAAACAATGGCGCATATTGAATGTATGCAGTTTGATGGGCTGGTGTGTGTACCCCGGGAAACCCGCCCCCGGGATCCAGGTGCCACACAGATCTGTCACCTCCACAGCTCCCTCCCGACCCGCTCCTGCTGGTGCTCTGCGGTGGGAACATAGAGTTCATACTCTACTCCCTGGATACACTGTCCAGGGTTCTGGATTTTGATGCTGTGTTTTCTATGGGGGGAGTACCAGCAGCTGGACGGGCAGGCCTGGGGTGAGGAGGCCACCTAGACCACGCAGCCAGATGTGTGCCCCAGGCTGCAGGAGGGTCCTGGGCTATGGTGAGCAGGGTTCTCAGTGCTGCCGGGTCTGTCCCAGGCAGACGGACCTCAAGTGCAAGGGCCTCGAGTCTGGGTGAAGGCCAGGGCCGAGGGAAGGGATGGGTGATCGCGGCCTGAGAGCTGGAGGGGGCTGGAGCTGGTGCCAGTGGGCTGTGGTCACATGGGGTAGCGGGAGCCGCCATGGGGTGGGGAGGGCATTAGTGGCAGGGCAGGACTGCTCTTTGATCTAGCTCATATACCACCTCCCCCAGGAAGACCTCTAGGACTCCTCAGTGCCCTCCGACTATTGGCTGAATTGTGCCTCAGTTTCCTAATCTGTAACATGGGGGTAATAATAGTGGCAGTCTCAAAGAGTCATGGTGCTGTTCAGAGGATGAGAACACAGTCAAGTGAGCAGCATCACCCGGCACACGGCGCTACCCGGAAATGCTCGCTTCTGTTACCTCGTTAATAGGTATTTGTGTCACCTTCATTTGCACCTATGGGCTGCTCAGGCCATAAGATGCTTCTCTGGTGCTCGCAGCTGGGAAGGAAGACAACGTGTATCAATAAACAGTTATGGCACTTGAAGGCAAGTCTCTGATCTCCCGATTTTTCCAAGAGAACTTTGAAATCCAGATTTTGCATTACATCTTAGAGTTTCTTGACAAGGAATTCAGCTTCTTCATTTACACGCCACTTAGTCAAGCTAGACACAGCTGTAGCTACAGTGTCACCGGCTCCATTGTACAGATGGGAAAATTGAGGTTCAGAGGGACCGACTTGTCCAAATGGCCCTGTGGAGTTCCACTCAGGGTCTGGCTGACTCCAGATGTGCTCCTTCCAGGGGACGTGGGGCTGGCGGGGCCTGACTGGCCAGCTCAGCTGTCCACCTCCTGCAGAGTCTCTGCCTATTGGTTCTGGCTGTCTCAGATCAATGGGGTGGCTATCTTTGTCCTGGAAGTACATGTTCAAAAGAGGGTGGACCGCGATGCAGCAGCCTGGCTGTCTGGCTTTGCAACGTCAGCTCTAAACTGATGGGCTGGGTCACCCCTTCCAGCTCTGATGGGGTGTGGGCACTGAGGGGCCCGAGTGAGGTTGAGGGTGGGGATCGGGTGGACTGGGGGGAGCTCCCTCTGTCACTGGAGCAACAAATTGTAGATCTAGAGAAGCAAAGCTGGGAGGAGAATCCAAGGGGACCCCAGGTGTGTAAACTGCGGTTCCTTTAAGAAAATCACGTTTTTGTAGTTTTTAAGTCAGGAGATCTCATATGTATTTCTGTACTTCTGGTTTTCATGGAAAGCTTCTGTGTTCTCACCTTCCCCTGACTCTTCTCCGACTGGCTCACTCCCAGTCTCCCCAGCACAGGAGGGCCTTTGCACCGGCTGTGGCTGCTGTGGAACGCCACCCCTTTCTAGATTCACGAGCGCCCTTCCTCACTGCCTTCTGTTTTGATTTTGGTTCTGGTTAGTGTTTCTTTCTTTCTCTCTCTTTCTTCTTTCTTTCTCTCCCCTGTTTCCTTTCTTTCTCTCTCTTTCTTTCTGTCCTTCTTTCCTTCCTTTCTCTCTTTCTTTTTGAGACACAATACTACTCTGATACCCACGCTGGACAGTGGCACCATCACAGCTCACTGCAGCCTCAACCTCCCTGACTCAAGTGACCTCGGCCTCTCAGGTAGCTGGGTCTACAGGTGTGCAGCACGATGGTCAGCTAATTTTTTAAAAATTATTTTTTATAGCTAGGCGTGGTTGCTCATGCCTGTAATCCCAGCACTTTAGGAGGCTGAGATGGCTGGGTCACTCGAGATCAGGAGTTCAAGACCAGCCTGGCCAACATGGTGAAACCCTGCTTCTGTTAAAAAAAAAAAAAAATTAGCCCAGCATGGTGGTGGGTGCCCGTAGTCCCAGCTACTCGGGAGGCTGAGGGAGGAGAACTGCTTTAACCCGGGAGGCGGAGGTTGCAGTGAGCTGAGATCGCGCCACTGCACTCCAACCTGCGTGACAGAGGAAGACTCCCTCTCAAAAATAATAGAAAATGAAATAAAATATTAAAAAAATACAGAAAATTAGCCGGACATGTTGGCAGGGGCCCGTGGTCCCAGCTACTCAGGAGGCTGAGGTAGGATAATTGCTTGAACCCAGAGGTGGAGGTTGCAGTGAGCTGGGATCATGCCACTGCACTCCAGCCTGGGTGACAGAGTGAGACTCCATCTCAAAAAAGAAAATAAATAAATAAATAAAATTATTCTTTATAGAGACAGTCTTGCTATGTTACCCAGGCTGGTCTCAAACTCCTGGGCTCCAGTGATCCTCCTGCCTTGGCCTCCCATAGTTCGGGGATTACAGGCATGAGCCACAGCGCCTGGCCTACATTTCACTTTCGTGATGACTCTGTCTCAAATCCTGGCCTCTCCCCAGTCCCTGCTGTGTTTTCTCTGTGCTCTGTTGCATGCATTTTACATGAGTCGTTTGGTGCCTACCTTTCCCCTGCTGCGGTAAAGCCCCGCGTAGCAGGGTCCTGGCCGCTGTCCCATCTGCAGCTCTTAGAACCTGCCTGGCACGTGGTAGCGCTCAGTGCATGCTTGTTGAATGAATGAATTACCCACCTGGCTGCATGGAGCCCATGTTCCTGCATGGGGCCATCCGCTGCCCTGAGCTCGCACCCCCTGTAGATGGTGTGTGGGCCCCTGTTTACCACAGTCCCGTGACTGGTGTCACCTGTTGATGTTACGACGTATTTTAAGAAGCGTTGTGACAGCATGACTCGGCCGGTTTAATTCCCTAAGCTCCGGGTGCGACAGCCTCAGGCGTGAGGGGCTTTCCTGCCACCTCCTATCCCGAGCCCCCACAGAGGCTCCCCCTTCCCTGGCCTGCTCGGGCAGCTGTTCCGGAGCCCATGTTGGGTGGGGCGTGGGGCCCTCGTCGCTCTCGTCACCACGTACTTGTCCTGTTCCCTGCAGAACGTGCGCATCGACCCCAGTAGCCTGTCCTTCAACATGTGGCGGGAGATCCCCATCCCCTTCTATCTCTCCGTCTACTTCTTCAACGTGATGAACCCCAGCGAGGTCCTGAACGGCGAGAAGCCGCAGGTGCAGGAGCGCGGGCCTTACGTGTACAGGTGAGGTTAGGCCCAGGGGAGGGCGGAGGGGCCGGCTGAGGCTGGGCAGGGGAGGGGTCGCAGAGTGGACAGGATGGGGAGGCTGCTGGCTGAGCCCCAGAGATTGTTCCTGGAGCAGGCAAGGCATAGACGGGGGAAGTACTTACTAGTCCTGGAGAAGTGAATTTTTTTTTTTGTTTTTTTAGAGTTGGGATCTTGCTATGTTGCCCAGGCTGGTTTTGAAGTCCTGGGCTCAAGCGATCCTCCTGCCTCAGCTTCTCAAAGTGCTGGGATTACAGGTGTGAGTCACCAGACCTTGCCTAGAGAAGTTCTTTATGGAGCAGGGAGGGACCAACGGTGTGGGTCTGGGTGGAGGGTGCATGTGTGAGAGAGACACACACACACACACACACACACACACACACATGCACGACCAGGAGCGGGGACTTACCCCCCGAACTCTGTCTGGGACAGAGGACTGGTTAGGCCAGCACAGGAAGAGGTCAGCTGTTTGTGGAACACGCTGGCTGAGGGACCAGAGTCATGCCTTTGCTTTCTGCTTTCTGCTTTCCCTGGCTGGGGCCAAGGGAAGTGACTTCCCCGCTCTGAGCCTCAGTGTGCCTGTCTGCAGACTGGGGAGACATAAGAGCCCCTTCCTGGGGTCATCGGGACACTCAGGCTGCACTCGGAACTGTGAGAAAGCTGGCGGGGCAGCATGGGTGTGCTCCAGGCGGATGTGTCTGTTACAACGCCGTTACCATCCTCTGCACCCCTACCTTCCCCTCCCCTCCACCACCACAGCCCCCCACCTTCCCCTCCCCTCCACCGCCACAGCCCCCCACCTTCCCCTCCCCTCCACCACCACAGCCCCCCACCTTCCCCTCCTCTCCACCGCCACAGCCCCCCACATTCCCCTCCCCTCCACCGCCACAGCCCCCCACCTTCCCCTCCCCTCCACCACCACAGCCCCCCACCTTCCCCTCCCCTCCACCACCACAGCCCCCCACCTTCCCCTCCCCTCCACCGCCACAGCCCCCCACCTTCCCCTCCCCTCCACCGCCACAGCCCCCCACCTTCCCCTCCCCTCCACCGCCACAGCCCCCCACCTTCCCCTCCCCTCCACCGCCACAGCCCCCCACCTTCCCCTCCCCTCCACCGCCACAGCCCCCCACCTTCCCCTCCCCTCCACCGCCACAGCCCCCCACCTTCCCCTCCCCTCCACCGCCACAGTCCCCCACCTTCGCCTCCCCTCCACCGCCACAGCCCCCCACCTTCCCCTCCCCTCCACCGCCACAGCCCCCCACCTTCCCCTCCCCTCCACCGCCACAGCCCCCCACCTTCCCCTCCCCTCCACCGCTACAGCCCTCCACCTTCCCCTCCCCTCCACCGCCACAGCCCTCCACCTTCCCCTCCCCTCCTCCATAATCCCCCACCTTCCCCTCCCCTCCTCCATAATCCCCCACCTTCCCCTCCCCTCCTCCATAATCCCCCACCTTCTCCTCGCTTCTACCACAGCCCCATCTTTCCCTCCACTCAACCACACCCCCTACCTTCCCTTCCCCTCCACCACACCCCCACCTTCCTCTCCTCCACCACAGCCCCACCATTTCTCATCCCCTCCTTCATACCCCACCCCCGCACCTTCCCAGTTCACAGGCAGAGGGGCAGGGGCTAAGAGAGGAGAGCTGACTTGCCCCGGCACACGGTGTTCCAGGGATTGGGTGGGCAGAGCATGTTCCTGCTGTTGGAGGTGCACAGTTTCATTCTGGGAAAGCCAGGATGAAAAGCCAGCCAATGTGCCTGAGGTTTGGGAGTCAGAAACATGAGTCAGCTGCTGCATTCACCCATTCACTCATTCACTCATTCATTCATTCACTCATTCATTCACGCATTCACTTCACTCATTCACTCATTCATTCACGCATTCACTTCACTCATTCACTCATTCATTCACGTATTCACTCATTCACTCACGCATTCACTCACTCATTCACGCATTCACCCATTCACTCATTCATTCACGCATTCACTCATTCACTCATTCATTCACGCCTTCACTTCACTCATTCACTTCACTCATTCACTCATTCATTCACGCATTCACTTCACTCATTCATTCACGCATTCACTGATTCACTCATTCACTCATTCATTCACGCATTCACGCGTTCACTCGTTCATTTAACAAATGTTTATTGAGCACCTACTAGGTGTTGGCTGCTGTTCTAAGCAAAGGGGACCCAGCAGAGGACAGAATGGGCATAGAGGCCAAAGCTCTGTATACTCCTTCATTCTGTGGTACTGACCGAGTGCCTCCTGTGTGCCTTCCCCTCCCCTCACCGGGCTGTGCCGGGGCGCAGGCAGACCAAGGCCCTGCCTCACCGGGCTGATGTTCTGATGGGGAGAGTAAATGAGTGGACGGGTAAGGGGAAATCAGGCAGCAGTGCTGTGCTGAGCAAACAGTGCAGCCGGAGTGCAGGAGGGAGCTCGGTCTGACTGGAGGGGTGGGAGCAGCTCTGTGAAGGGACACTCCCTGCACCTGGATGAGGAAGAGGCCCTGGAGAGGGGGTCCTGGGCAGAGCGTGTGCAAAGGCCTGAAGGCCTAAGGCCCAGCCTTGCTGAGGCCTCAGAGACCGAGTTAGGAGCCTGATTTTAACCTGCATGCAAGTGGGCATGTGGTCCAGAGCACGGTGTGATCTGATTTCCACTTTCCTTTTTTTTTTTTTTTTTGAGACAGAATTTTGTTCTGTTACCCAGGCTGGAGTGCAGTGGCGTGATCTCAGCTCACTGCAGCCTCTGCCTCCTGGGTTCAAGCAATTATCCTGCCTCAGCCTCCTAAGTAGCTGGGATTGTAGGCATGTGCCACCACACTCAGCTAATTTTTGTGTTTTTGGTAGAGACAGGGTTTCGCCAATTTGGCCAGGATGGTCTTGAACTCCTGATCTCAGGTCAGCCTCCCAAAGTGCTGGGATTACAGGCGTGCGCCACCACGCCCGGCCTGATTCCCACTTTTCAAAGATTCTTCTGGATGGTGGAGAATGGCTTGCAGAGATGGGAGATCATAATGATGGCAGCCGAGACAGTCACGCCGCTGATATTTGCCTCGTGCTTTCTCTGCGCCCGGGCTGTGTTGGTTGCTTTACGTGTATCTGATTGTTTAATCCCCACAACCACCCTCCGAAGTGAGGCTTGTGATTCCTCTATTTTGTTTTGTTTTTGAAATGTTTTTTGAGATGGAGTCTCGCACTGTTGCCTGGACTGGAGTACAGTGGTGCGATCTCGGCTCACTGCAGCCTCTTCCTCCCGGGTTCAAGCGATTCTCCTGCCACAGCCTGGGAGTAGCTGGGATTACAGGCTTCCGCCAGCATGCCTGGTTAATTTTTTGTATTTTTTTTTTGAGATGGAGTTTCGCTCTTGTTACCCAGGCTGCAGTGCAATGACGTGATCTCGGCTCACCGCAACCTCCGCCTCCTGGGTTCAGGCAATTCTCCTGCCTCAGCCTCCCGAGTAGCTGGGATTACAGGCATGCACCACCATGCCCCGCTAATTTTTTGTATTTTTAGTAGAGACAGGGTTTCACCATGTTGACCAGGATGGTCTTGATCTCTTGACCTCATGATCCACCCGCCTCGGCCTCCCAAAGTGCTGGGATTACAGGCTTGAGCCACCGCGCCCGGCCAATTTTTTGTACTTTTTAGTAGAGATGGGGTTTCACTCTGTGGGCCAGGCTCTTGAACTCCTGACCTTGTGATTCGTCCCCCTCGGCCTCCCGGAGTGCTGGGATTACAAGCATGAGCCACCCAGCCCAGCGATTACTCCATTTTGTAGATGGAGAGGTGATGACCGTGCTGGGTGAGGAAGTGCAGAACGAGGCCAGTTGGGTGGAGCACCGTGTCCCACAGTGGGCAGGCGGGGGAGGGACAGGCTTGGCGGAGGGGCTGGGCTCGGCTTTGGCTGTGGGGCGGGAGGTGTGCACAGAGGCCTGTCCCCGCAGTGGTGGGCCGGGCATCTGACCCACCTGCTCCCCACAGGGAGTTCAGGCACAAGACTAACATCACCTTCAACAACAACGACACCGTGTCCTTTCTCGAGTACCGCAACTTCCAGTTCCAGCCCTCCATGTCCCACGGCTCGGAGAGCGACTACATCGTCATGCCCAACATCCTGGTCCTGGTGAGGCTGCCCCGTGGCCCCCGCCGCCTCGCACCCTGGCCTTGTCCCCTGAATCTCCTCCCGCCTGCCCCTCGCACGGAGAGCAGTCCCCGAGGTGGTCGGAGCGTGAGGACTCACGCCTGTGGGTGGCTCTTGGCCCCGTGCTGTCTCCACCACCCCGCTGGGTTCTGAGGTTCCCAGGTGGGTCCAGCTGTCTCTGGTTTGGAAGTCCTGGCCGAAGCATTTTTTTTTTTCCTTTTCAATTTACACTTCTGAGATTTCCAAAAGGAGCTGTCTTGTTGGGGGCTGAGCCACATGCCCGCCTCTGGGACTGGGGCTGGAGTTCACTTGGCCTGAGTCCTGTGGGGTGCACGGGGGAGAAGGGGCTTTTGGGAGCACGTGGTCCTGGCACTGGAGGAGCAGAGGGTGGTTCTGGTGTCCCGGACACACCTCGAGGCCACTCCAGGGGTCTCCTGCACCCCAAAATTTTCTTTCATGGGCTCTTTGCCATGAGGCCCAGCAGGGGCTGAGGGAGGATGGGCCAGCCACGGCCAGCCTGCGACACGGGTCCCTTGGCCTTGCAGGGTGCAGCGGTGATGATGGAGGACAAGCCCATGAGCCTGAAATTCATCATGACCTTGGCGTTCAGCACCCTCGGTGAGCGTGCCTTCATGAACCGCACTGTGGGGGAGATCATGTGGGGCTACAGCGACCCGCTCGTGAACCTCATCAACAAGTACTTTCCCGGCACCTTCCCCTTCAAGGACAAGTTCGGGTTATTTGCTGAGGTACGTGTGGCCTGCTGAGAAGCCAAAGTTTCAGACCTGTGTCCTGTCTTCCCCGACACAGCCTGGACACCGGTCACCAGCTCGCCTTGTAGCTGGCTGGGGGTGTAGGGGCTGTGGGTTGTAAGTGGCAGAGAACCTGACTCAAACCAGCTTAAGTGAAATGGGGAGTGTTGGGGCTTATAGAACTGAAAATGCTAGGGGTGGATTCAGGTACAGCTTGATCCAGGCTCAAATGATGTGCCTGGGCATTACCTTAGCAAATTGGAGGCTTTGCTGGAAGAAGTGGGCACGACTGCTGGGGAGTCAGATCACAAGCCGACTCTCTTGACTCCTGACCACCTGGTAGGGTCACTGATTGGGCTTCTGAGACAACATCTCGTCCACGTAGGGTCTGACCCTCACCTTGGCTCCCTCACAGCAGGTTTCAGTGAGTCCTCGGGACTGCTCCAGCCTCAGCCATCTCGTTGGCCTCTGCTGGTCAGGGTAGAGTGCCGGGGGGTGTATTGCGGTGCTGCATGTGATACACGCTCAGTACATTTATGTCAAGGGTGATGGGCTCCTGTCATGTGGGTAAATTGGCAAGTTTGGGGTAAGAGGCATGATTCTCTAAAAGCATCTTGTAAATCCTGAAGCGCTTTGCAAATGAAAGTTATTGTAAAGTCACTAGTTTAGTATAATCTATATTTAGTAGATTTAGTTTAGCATATCTACGTCTGACCGCCTGTAATGAAAACCTCACAAGAACAGTCTAGCGGTAGGCTGTTCAGTGTTAGCGTGGTGGCTTCATGGTCTTAAGTGATCTGGAAGCCTTCTGCTACTCTGCTCTGCTGTCCTTGGCATGTGGTTTTCATCTTCAAGATGCCCTCATGGTCCAAGTTGGCTGCTGGAGTGCCAGCTATCACATCACATTCCAGGCAGCACAGCAGGAAGGAAGTGGTGGGGCTTTGGGGAGCAGATGGAGGAACTGGGGCTAAAACAGCATGTCCCAGCTGCCTCCTTCTTCGGGAGGGAGAAAACCAATGCCCACTGACTTTCCATTGGCTAGAACGGAGTCACGTGGCCACACCTAGCTCCAGGGGAAGCTGAAAATGGGGTAGCCTTTTCGGTGGGTGTGCTGGTGCTGTGAGTATGGTTTGGGCTTTGTTATGAGGGAGAAAGGAGAGAGTGGACTTTGGGTAGTAACTGGCAGTTTCTGAGGCCCTGTGTCCATGATAATGATTGTTTAAGGGTCCTGGTGGGTGAGCATTTATTTATTTATTTTTTATTTTTGAGGCATAGTCTCACTCTGTCGCCCAGGCTGGAGTGCAGTGGCGTGATCTTGGCTCACTGCAACCTCTGCCTCCCGGGTTCAAGCTGTTCTTTTGCCTCAGCCTCCTGAGTAGCTGGGACTAGAGGTACCTGCCACCACCTTGGCTAATTTTTTCTGTATTTAGTACAGACGGGGTTTCAGCATATTGGTCAGGCTGGTCTCGAACTCCTGACCTTGTGATCCACCCGCCTCAACCTCCCAAAGTGCTGGCACTACAAATGTGAGCCACCGTGCCAGGCCAGCATTTGTTAATAGTAGCGATAATAATGAAAATAGAGACTAGCATTTTGCGCGCCTCCTGTGTCTGGGCACTGCCCCTGGCCCTTCTGCACATAAGCCCCTTACTGCTCCCCTTTGTAGTGGCTCTGGTTATTCTTGGCTCCACTTGGGCAGGTGACAGAGACACACAGGAGGCCAGGCCGGGGCCTCGTGCTGGGTCCTGTCTGGAAGGTCTGTGATGTGGGCAGCCCTTAGGTCAGCTGACCCTGGCGGAGCGCCTCAGTGTGCTCTTCCCTGCACAGCACTTCTAGATCTTTCCTTTCAGTCACTCATACCGTTTTGTGCTTTGCACGTCCTTGGGATTAGAAACCAGCTTCTGGGAGATGCCCTCAGAGCATCAGAGCCTGGGCCCTACTTCAAGAAACGCTCCATTAACTCTGATAGGTTAGACCAGGCCAGGCTGTGCTGCTTCGACAAGCAGCCCCAGAATCTTCGTGGCTCAGAACAGCCAAGACTGCCTCCTTGCACTCCACGTCCAGTGTGGGTGACTGGAGCACCCTGGCTTGTGATGGTCACTTGGGGACCCAGGTCGAGGGAGGCTCCGTCTTGACACATACCTCCTCAGCGGCCCGGCGAGAGGTGTGTACACAGTCCTTCAAGCATCCCCCCGGCTGACATGCCGCTTCTCCTTTTTCATTGTTTGGGGAGCTGACCTGGCCACGTTCTATTTTGCACTGGGGTGGGGTGTGGTGGGGGCGATCTGACGTTCACCTGGGAGGAAAGCCAGACTCTCCTGGAGCTGGGAAGGGAGGGTGGAACACTGCAGCCACCGGAACGCAGGACCGTCCCTCCTAGAAAGCCCCCAAGCCTCCTCTCAGTCCCCAGACACTGGGCCTGTGGCAGTGAACCAGATGCCAGGGGCTCTGTCCTTCTGGTGGAGGGGAGGAGAGCTCAGCCTAGGATGTCAGACCAGGCCAGCTCAACGGCTGGCCCGAGCCTTAACCATGCTGTTCCCTGCTGTGTCTGCAGCTCAACAACTCCAACTCTGGGCTCTTCACGGTGTTCACAGGGGTCCAGAACATCAGCAGGATCCACCTTGTGGACAAGTGGAATGGGCTGAGCAAGGTGAGGGGCGAGAGGCGAGGGCCCCTGTCGCTGGGGAGAGGGGAAAGGGGAGGGTGGGCTGGGCTGTGGCTGCACGGGAATGGCAGGGACCACAGGGTCCCTTCTTCCTTTGTCATGAAGAGGGTGCTGGGAGGATGAACACCCTTGCAGTTGGAGGAGGGAGTTTACCTCTGGGTAAAGCTTTACCAGCCAGAGGGGCAGGCAGGGTTAGTGGTTAGTGACTGCTCACTGAGACCTGGCATCTGCTGGAGATGGAGTGCTTTCTTTCTTTTGGTTCTTTTCTTACAAAATGTTTTGAAATATTACACTAGAACACAGAAGACATTCACATAACAAAACAAGAGAGAGAGAAGTGCCCTTAGTGTCACCTCCCACCCCTACCCGTCACCCCACAGGAAACCCAGTTAGCAGTTTGGGATCCATTCCTCCCGTCCATCTTCATCCATGTGCATGCCTGTGTGTACACAGAGAAATACGGCATTTTTTCTTCTTTGCACCTCGTGAAATCATGCTACATGCATTGCTTTTTTCACCTTCGTGACCTTTTCTGAGTATGTGTGAAAATGATTGTGCAGGTACCCACGACCTGCTCCCCATGGCAGTTACTGCAAAGACCCTGAGGGCTGGGACAAAACGTACCCCAACCAGTGCCCAGAGTGGCAAAAATCACCATCTGCAACCAGCGGTAGCCATGCATGGTAGCTAGAGTTCATTTCATCGTGGCTTGTATATTTCAGTGTACTACGTGTGCACGTGATTTCAAACATTCTCAGGGTACGGAAGATCGGAAAGGGAGCAGTTGGTTTTGTCTCGCTGCCCAGAGGCAGTTTCCCGGATAGGTTCTGCTTTGGGGTGCCCAGTGGTGGCCACCGTTATGATTTTCATCTTGCCGATTCCTAACCCCATCTGCTTTTAGGAGGTGCCTGTTGACTTCCACTCTGAGGGCTGAGCACAGCTGTGCCCCACCTCTCACCTTACCTGTTCACCACACCTCTTGCCAGATTCAGGCTGGAGATACAGGTGACAGGCCCATCTTGCAGATGAAAGAACTGAGTCCCTGGCCAAGTTCCACATTCAGGGGTCTGGGGGTGGGCAGCTGTGGTCGGCGTTCTGTCTGTCTGTCTACACAGCCTGCCCTCTTCCCACCACACCAGTATTGGGAATTGAGTGGCCATGTCTGCACCAGGGCAAGCAGGATTTATGGCACCTGAGAGGGCTTATTAAGGGGCCTTGACCCTACTGAGGGGCCCGTCCGATGTTTCCCGCAGGTTGCCTTCTGGCACTCCGATCAGTGCAACATGATCAATGGAACTTCTGGGCAAATGTGGCCGCCCTTCATGACTCCTGAGTCCTCGCTGGAGTTCTACAGCCCCGAGGCCTGCCGGTAATCGCTGGGACATGGGGCTTCTGGGCTTCCAAGGCCGCTTATGGCCAAATCCAGAGGCGCCGGCTATGCGCTTGGGAAGCATTTCGACTCATCGTGGATTTGATTCAGTAGCCATTGGCACTATCTTGAATTCTCTCTGGCCGCACCACCAGCTGAACTCCAGCTGCCAGTGCCTCCACACGGCCCAAAGGGAGGCTGCTGGTGGTGGTTTAGAGCCGGTGGTGCTGGGCCAGGAGGAGGGGGCGGGGCCTGTCAGGGTCTCTGGGGGCCGGGAAATGCAGGCGAGAGGTGGGCTTCCCCTGGCATCTGGCTGGCGGCCCCCGTGAGCATCTGGGTGCTGAGATACCGGCTGGCTCTGCTTGGCCCCTTCAGGCTCAGCTCTGCAGCCTGGGAGGCCTGAATGCATCCCATGGTCTCAGTTGTGGGGTCGGGGTAGACAGTGGGTAGCTCCTGCAGCCTTTTCTGGAGGCCTTGCTGTGTCGTGTTCCATTCTGGTCACTCTGGAAAAGTCCTTTACTTGGGAATCCACTCATGTGGACCTTGACTTATCTGCCCTCTCAGCAAACCTTGTGAAGCCCTACTGTGTGCCAGGTGCCCTGTAGTGACAGAGTGGGCCAGGTTTCCGTTCCTAGGAGGTTGTGTCCTATGAGGGCAACTCAGGCAAATGGACGAACACCAGAGTGTCAGAGAGTGACAGTGCTTTTGCTCTGTGTGGCCGCTTTTTGCTGTTTTAAATTTTTACTTATTTATTTATTTATTGAGACAGAGACTCGCTCTGTCACCAGGCTATAGAGTGGTGCAATCTCGGCTCACTGCAACCTCTGTCTCCCAGGTTCAAGAGATTCTCCTGCCTCAGCCTCCCAAGTAGCTGGGACTACAGGTGCCCGCCACCACGCCTGGCTAAGTTTTGTATTTTTTTTTTTAGTAGAGATGGGGTTTCACCATGTTGTTCAGGCTGGTCTTGATCTCCTGACCTCGTGATCTGCCCATCTCGGCCTCCCAAAGTGCTGGGATTGCAGGCGTGAGCCACCTCGCCCAGCCTTATTTATTTTGTTTTTTTTTTTTTACATATGGGGTCTCGCTATGTTGCCCAGGCTGGTCTTGAACTCCTGGCCTCAAGGGATCCTCCTGCTTCAGCCTCCCAAAGTGCTGGGATTGTAGGTGTGAGCCACCATACCCAGCTGACTTTTTAAAAACTGAATTTTAAACTTAGAGAAGTTACATGAGAAGTACAAGTGGCCCGCCTCCCCTTCACCCAGGTGTACTAGCCGCGTCTCTTTTGCTGTGTCACGCCCCCTGCCCCCTCCTCTCACTGGGTGTCCTTCCTGAACCATCCGAGAGTAGGTTGGAGGCTGCGTGGCACCCTTATGCCCAAATACTCAGTGGGTGTTATTCAGAAATGAGGACATTTTCTTACATAACCACAATGCTATTATCAAAATGAGGAAATGTGACGTTGACATAATACCATTATCTAAGCTGGCACTTTCCAATCAATCAAAATAGGCAAGGCACACACGCAGTTAAAAACTCTTAGTAGCTGCATTAATACAAGTAACAAGAAATTGGTGAAATTATTTTGAATAACGTATTTTATTTGACCTCATATATCAAAAATGTAATCACTTCAAGTGTAATTGAGGAGTTTTGGTTGTTTTATTTTTTTGCTAGCAAGCGTTAGAAATCTGGGATGTATTTTATATTTGCATCCCAGTTTGGACTCGCCCCACGTCAAAGGCGGGATGGGCAGCCACGCTTAAGGAGTGGCTGCTGTGGACAGAGTGGGTAGCACAGTGCATGTTCAAGTTCAGAAGTGCTTTTGAGAAAGTGCAGGAGTGTGAACGGATGGAGGGTGAATGGGGTGGGTTTGGGGGACAGTGCTACCACCTGAGGAAGTGACAGCTGAACTGAGATCTGAAGTTTAATGGATGAAGATGCGAGAGAAGACTTCTTAGGCAGAGGCAGCGGCTGATGCAAAGGGCCTGGGGCAGGAGGGAGCATGCTTAGGAACCGCAAGGAGGCCCTGGGCCAGGGAAGGTGGCGGGGTGCTGAGCAGAGCTAGGCAGGAGCTGGAGAAGGACAATGCATCCTAATGGTAGGTTAGACTAGAAAGGTCACTGGCTTTCAGGGGCATGATGTCTTCTGTTCTTTTTTTAATTTCATAACTTTCAAAAAAGTTTTTTTTAAGAGACTGGGTTTCACCATGTTGCCCAGGCTGGTCTTGAACTCCTGGGCTCAAGTGATCCTCCCACCTCGGCCTCCCAAAGTGCTGGGGTTACAGGTGTAAGCCATGGTGCCTGGCATCTGTTCTTTAGTAAAACTTTATCTGGCTGTGGCTAACACATGGGTGTGGGTAGGGAGGCAGAGTCGAAGCAGAGAGGCCAGTTAGGAGGTCTCTTCAGCTACCCGGGCAAGAGATGGGGGCAGCGTGGACCTGAGAGGTGGTAGCGCCGGATCTGGGCAGCCTTTGGCAGGGTCTGGCTCTGGCCACCGGGTCTGGGTGTCCCCTCTCACCTTGTCTGTCCCCTGCAGGTCCATGAAGCTCATGTACAAAGAGCCAGGGGAGTTTGAAGGCATCCCCACCTACCGCTTCGTGGCCCCCAAAACCCTGTTCGCCAATGGGTCCACCTACCCACCCAATGAAGGCTTCTGCCCTTGCCGAGAGTCTGGAATTCAGAACGTCAGCACCTGCAGGTTCAGTACGTGTCGACCCTGTGCTGGGAGGGTGCGAGGAGGGTGGGGCCAACTGGGGGTTTATCTGCCCCAGGCTGTCTGCTTAATCTGTGGCCTCTGTACTCTTGATAATCCCATTAACCTGAAGATAACGAGGACCTCGGGAAGAGGATCTCAAGAGGAAGAAATGCCGTGTCTATTAGTTGCTGCCACAGTTGATTCCCATGAACTTAGAGCAGCACACACTTGGTATCTTGCAGTTCTGTGGTTCAGAAGTCCGTGTGGGTCTCCCCGCGCTCAGATCAAGGAGGCTGCGTTCCTTCTGGAGGCTCTGAGAATCCGGATCTGCCTTTTCCGGCTTCTAGAGGCCCCTCTGGACTTCTTGGGTCCCGGGCCCTTCCTCCACCTTTGAGGCTGACAACACAGCGTCCTTCTGATCCACTGTGTCCTGGAATTTCTTTCTCTGCCCCCTCTTCCAGTTCTAAGGACCCTTTAGACCACATTATATTCTCCTGAAAACCCCAGGACAATCTCCCAATCTTGTTTATTTTTATTTTTTTTTGAGACAGAGTCTCTGTCACCCAGGTTGGAGTGCAGTGGTGCCATTTCAGCTCATTGCAACCTCCGCCACCCAGGCTCAAGTGATCCTCCCACCTCAGCCTCCCGAGTAGCTGGGACCACAGGCATGCGCCACCACACCTGGCTAATTCTTTGTATTTTTGCTAGAGATGGGGTTTCACCATGTTGCCCAAGCTGGTCTTGAACTCCTGACCTCAAGCGATTCACCTGACTTGGCCTCCCAAAGTGCTGGGATTACAGGTGTGAGTGACCGCGCCCAGCCTATTTTTATTTTTTGAGACAAGGTATCACTCTGTAGCCTGGGGCTGGAATATAGCTCAGTGCAGCCTCTACCTCACCGGCTCAAGTGATCCTCCTGCCTCAGCCTCCTGAGTAGCTGGGACCACAGGTGCGAACCATGATACCTAGCTAGTTTTATTTTTGTAAACTTTTTGTAGAGATGTTGTCTCACCACGTTACCCTTGCTGGACTCAAATGCCTGGCCTCATGTGATCCACCCACTCTGCCTGTTGAAGCGCTAGAATTACAGGCCGGAGCCACTGTGCCCGGCCCAGCGTCCCGACCTTCAAGGCAGCTGCTGAGCAGGTTCAGTGCCCCTTTGCCCTGTGACCTAACATAGCCATGGGCTCTGGGGCTTAGGGCATGGATATGTCTGGGCGGCAGTTCGTCCGCCCTCCCACACCGTGACTTGGAACTTGAAAGTGAGGCTTGGTGGGAAGGACCCTTCACCCCATTCTGAGATGGAAAGAGGCTGGAGAGGGTCTGTGTGTTTTGTAACATCCTCTCGTTCCGCGGTGTGGGGCGGCTGGGCAGATGGGAGGACTGGTGCTGGCATGCTGTTTGCTGGCATTGTTGGTGCGTCTCAGCTGTGTGCCAGGCCCAGAGGCGCCCCCACCTCCAGCTGCTCAGTCTGGACCCTCGGGTGGCAGTTGGATTCCCTGTCCTCACCCAGCTCTTCCATTACATCAACAGGCCCCGATGGTGTTACCTCCAGGTTGAGTCCTCGCTCCTCCCTCTCTCTCGCCCTCCCATCCCCCGCTGCATCATCCAGGCCATGGACACATCCTTCCTGGTGGTCCAGCCCTTTCAATAGCCCACCCCGCAATGCAGCGTTGCCACTGTACTGTCCAGCTTCTAGACCATCCAGTGCGGTCACTGCTGGCCTTGTGTGGCTGTTTAAATTGAAATTGATTCAAATGAAATCAAATGAAAAGGCAGTTCCTTGGCTGCACTGGCCGTATGTTAAATGCTCATAAGCCGTGTGTGTCTAGCGGCTACCGTCTTGGATAGCGCAGATAGAGAACGTTTCCATCATCATAGGAAGTTCTGTAGCATCCAACGGCAGCAGAGGGATCTTTTAGCAACACGGGTCAGTGTGGTGGCTCACGCCTGTAATCACAATTCTGTGGGAGGCCGAGGCGGGTGGGAGGCCAAGAGTTCAAGACGAGCCTGGGCAACATAGCAAGACCTCTCTCTACCAAAAAAAAAACCAAAAAACAAAAAATTAGCCAGGCATGGCGGTGCCTGCCTGTAGTGCTAGCTATGTGGGAGGCTGGAGTGGGAGCTTGAGCCCAGAGGTCAAGGCTGCGTGACCTGTGATCACACGACTGCACTCCAGCCTAGGCAATGGCTAATTCTTTGTATTTTTGGTAGAAAAATACATCTCAAAAAAAAAATGCAGATTGCCACTGTACTGTTAAAATGTCCAGCAGCCTTTTCTGCATTCATAGTGAGGTCCAAACTCCCCACCGTGGCCCTGGACCCCACAGGATCCAGCCCCCGTCCCGCCCTAGCATCTCTGAAGGATCCAGCCCCCGTCCCGCCCTAGCATCTCTGAAGGATCCAGCCCCCGTCCCGCCCTAGCATCTCTGAAGGATCCAGCCCCCGTCCCGCCCTGGCATCTCTGAAGGATCCAGCCCCTGCTGGCCTCTCTGACTCCATTTCTCCCCACATGTGCCCTGTTCATTATTCTTCAGCCTTGGTGCCTTCTCACTGTGTCGAGTATATATCGAGGTCAGAGCTGCCTCAGGGCCTTTGCATGGGCCGCTTCCCCTGCTTGTAGTGCTCTTTGTCTGGACTTCTGAGCAGACAAACTCTTGGTCTTATTCCTAGCTTCTAGAATTGTGGCCTGCATTTAATGGATACTCATACAATATTTGAATATAGGGATGGCGAGTGTGTTCCATACTTCGGAAATGGAGGCTTGGGGCTGGATGTGACCAAGGGTTGGTGGGACTGGAAGCTGACCTTCTGTTTGACTGCGTCTTGCCTTTTGGGAGCCTTTTTTGGTTGAAGCCCCGACCTGCAGCTGGAGACGGCGACTCTGAAGGGCTGGTCTAGAGTCCTAGACCAGCAGGGGTCAGGAGGAAGGACAGTCAACAGGTCGGACGGTTTCCCCCATTTCCGGCGGAACAGAGCACCCTGTGAGCGAATGGTTTGGGGCTGTCTCCTGGTCCTGTCTGGCCCACCTGGGCATTGGCCTGTGTTTCATTCTTTCTTTGCTGGTGTTGGTGGGGATTTCTGCACTGAAGATTGAGATTCTGCCTGATAGGAGGTGAGTTACAGCAATGGTGGCAAGTGGCAGATGCTGGACTCCACTTGATTTAGGCCAAAAGGGCACTTCTTGGTTTGCGTAATGAAAAATTCCAGGGCAGATCCCTGCATTAGGCACAAGTCCAGAACTTAGATGTTGCCTGGAAGTTGCTCCTGCCAAGTCCCAGCTCACTTTTCTGCTGGACTGGCTTTGCTGGCAGGCAGGCTCTCCCCCCTGGCTGCCTGTGGAGGCTCCGGGCTCACCTCCACCCAGATCCGAATCCTGCAGAAAGTGGGCCACCTGCGTTTCCTCCAGTCCAGCACAAATCCCAGGGTTTGCTCTAACTGGTCCGCCTGGCACCCATGCCCAGCTCTGAACCAATCACAGTAGCTGAGGTGGACTATGCTGATTGGCCAGGCTCGTGTCGCCTGCTCAGCTGGCTCCCTGGGTGGGCTGGCCCCACTGGAAGCACAAGGCTGAGTGAAAGTAGGGAAAGTAGGGGTGTAGGGACCAGAAGAAGGGGGAGAAATGACATGCCCAGCCCTTCCAGGGGCTTGGGATGAGGTGTGCCCTGCCTTCTGTTAGCACATCTGCCAAAAGACTTTCAAAAGCGCAAGGGAATTTTAAAATATTTGTTTAAATAACGTTTTTTTCTTTTTTTACTAACATTTTTGAGACAGGGTTTCACTCTTTGCCCATGCTCAAGTGCAGTGGTGCAGTCACAGCTCACGGCAGCCTCGACCTCCTGGGCTCAAATGATTGTCTCACCTTAGCCTCCCAGGTAGCTGACAGCACCGGGCTACACCACCACATCTGGCTAATTTATTTTATTTTGAAATTTTTTGTGGAGATGAGGTTGTGCCGTCTTGCCTGGGGTTAGTTTTTGCTTCTAAACAAAATATACACAGATACAGAGACGTTCCCAGATGACTCATGCAGTTTCGGGGGTTTTTTGCTTTGTTTTTTTGAGCCAGGGTCTCACTCTGTTGCCCAGGCTGGAGTGAGTGGTACCATCACAGCTCACTGCAGCCTGACCTCCATCACTTGATTGATCCTCCCACCTCAGCCTCCCAAGCCGTTGGGACTACAGGCACTTGCTACTATGCCCAGCTAATTTTTAAATTTTTTGTAGAGAGGGGGTCTTATCATATTGCCCAGGCTAGTCTTGAAGTTCTGGGCTCAAGCGATTCTCCTGCCCAAAGTGCTGGGATTACAGGCATGAGCCGCTGCGCCCGGCTGACGTGCAGAGTTTGAAACTTGACAAAGTCAACGCACCACGTGGCCAGCACCCTGACTGAGAAACAGAACACAACAGGCCAGATGCCGCTCACGCTCCTCCCACCGCCCTGCTGTCCAGCCCCAGAGCTCAGCTGGTTTGCATCTCCATGCGAATGGACCCAAAGCCAGATTCCTGTTTCTCCTTTTCCGGCCTGTGCACCCCGGAGCACCCTGCTGTGATTCGTCCGTGACGTTGTGGCGGCTGCAGCACCTCTTCCTTGCTGCGTGGTGTTCCATCCTGGGCGCCACCTCCATCCTCTCACTCCTTCCGTCGCTCCTGGGCATCCGACTTCCTGTTTTTGACCATACCGTGGTGCACACGTGTCATGTGGTGCACCCATGTCCGTGTTTCTGTGGCGTTTTGTCTAAAGAGTAAAGGTACCCACGCCTTTGCCTTTCTGCGCCTTGAAACCCGCTGGACTTGGACACCTCCCTCATCTCAAACCTCCCTGTTGCACAAGGGCCTCCGACTTGCCTCATAGAGCTAACCAATTATCATCTGTGGCAATCCTGGGCAATTATGTCTGGCTAGATACACCATAAAGCTATAAATTAATTACCACTTATTGCCAGGAATATCTCTCTCGGCATGTTTGGTAATAAAATTGGAAGAAACGTGCACGGGCCCACGCAGACTTGCCCTCTGAAGCTAGGGCGGGGCCTGGCACGTTGCCCCATCCCAGCTTGATCTCCACCTGGGGCTGTGGGTGGGCCAGGGCTTGCTTGAGATTCCTCCAGGGTCTGGCTCTGTGGCTGCCTCCTCCATGGGGGGCCATGAGAGTGTTTCCACTTGGGGGCGATGCTCGTGTGTGCCCTATTGGGCAAAAAGGCTTGTGTCACATGGCTCTTTTGCCTGAGATGGGAGGATGAGAGGCAGCGTTTTCCAAATTGTGGAGGACATTCTCCCTGCGGGTTCTTGGGATAGCTTCAGAAGGTCCAGGGAGCTGAGAGGGAGCTTCTGGGCCCATCCTCTTTCTCTGCTTGCCATCACCTGCAGGAGAAGGTCTCTGTTGGTGCTGAGAGGGCTCCAAGACCCTTCCACACTCATCAGTCTTTTTTTGTTTTAAACAGAAAAAGACCAGGGCTTCCAGCTGAAGCCTGTGCAGTAACAGGTTCTAGTTAGAACTTACAACATTCATTATTTTGCATGATATTTATTGAAATATTTTCCCTTCCTTCCTTCCTTCCTTCCTTCCTTCCTTCCTTCCTTCCTTCCTTCCTTCCTTCCTTCCTTCCTTCCTTCCTTCCTTTTTTTTGACACTCTCTCTCTGTCGCCAAGGCTGGAGTGCAGTGGCACTATCTTGGCTCACTGCAGACTCTACAAACTGTCATCCAGGCTGGAGTGCAGTGGTGCAATCTCACCTACTGCAACCTCTGAAACCTCTGCCTCCCGAGTTCAAGCAATTCTCCTTCCTCAGCCTCCCGAGTAGCTGGGATTACAGGCTCGTACCAGGCCTGGCTGATTTTTGTATTTTTAGTAGAGATGGGGATCTCACCATGTCGCCCAGGTTGATCTTGAACTTCTGACCTCAAGTGATCTGCCCACCTCGGCCTCCCAAAGTACTGGGATCACAGGTGTGAGCCACCGCATCTGGCTCAAATATGTACTTTCTAATTGCGGCAAGTGTGTGCCAGGAATGGCACAGCTGTAAAGCTTCCCTTTAAAATACAGAGATTGCAGGATGGCAGCGGCAGTTGGTTCAGAGTATAACAGTGCAGAGGTTCTGGCATGAATGCTGCTTGAGAAACCTTAAGGCCAGGGATGCACAAGGACTGAGAAAGAAGAGGCCTGACATGGATCAAAATCCCAGCTTTTATTTCACACCAATGCCTGGCTTTGCTAAGAAAAGCAGAGGTACTTCCGAGGGGTAAGGGGAGGTGCATGGAAGCGTGGTTACTGGTCCTCTGGTCGGCAGTGAGGAAGGGCTGACGCTTTGTGGGAAGGAGACCTTGTGAGTTTGATTTGTTTTTTGTTTGTTTTGTTTTTCTTTCTTACTGAGGCACAATTCATGGAACATAAAATTAACCATTTTGAAGTGAACGATTCGGTGGCATTTAGCCCAGTCAAAACGTTGTGCAGCCGTCACCTGTATCTCACTCGAGAACATTTTCATCACACCGAAAGGAGACCCAGACTCATCAGCTGATCACTCCTGCCTCCTCCCCCAGCCCCTGCTCACCACCTGTTGGCTCTGTTTGTGGATTAGCAAGGTCTGGGTCCTTGTGAGCTTTTTAAATTTTTTTTTTCTTTTGAGACAGAATCTTGCTCTGTTGCCCGGGCCAGAGTTCTGTGGCACAATCACGGCTCACTGCGGCCTCAACCCCTGAGGCTCAAGTGATTCTCCCGCCTCAGCCTCCTGAGTAGCTGGGACTACATGCACACAGCACCCTGCCAGGCTAATTTTTGTATTTTTTTGTAGAGATGGGGTCTTGCCATGTTGCCCAGACTGGTCTACAATTCCTGGGCACAAGTGATCTGCCTGCTGAGGCCTCCCAAAGTGTTGGGATTACAGGGGTGAGCCATGGCGCCTGGCCCTCGTGAGCTTTGAAGAGAGGCCTGCCCACTGTTCCTTGTTAACTTGTCCCTCAGGTGAGCTGGTGTTTGCCTGGTTTGGCTGGTCCGTGGCGAGGTTGACCTCAGGTTTGTAGCAGGTGTGGGAGACCTGGCCGCAGGTGCACACACCTGAGCTCCGATTGTTGCTGCGTGGCCTGCAGGGGGCAGCGTGGGCTGCCTGGCTTGTGCTCGAGACACCCTCCCCATACCCAGGTGCAAATCTGGCGTCGCCTTTTCCATCCTCGTCTCCCTAGCTCCCGTGTGCTCCATGCCTCTCCCCTCCCTGTGTTTTTCTGCCATCCCTCCTACCTGGAACTCACTGCCAAGGCCTCCTCCTGCTCCTGTGAGAGGCCTCTGCCTTCCTTTGGTTTCTCCTGCCGGAATCAGCGGCTCTTGCCTCACCCCATCTCTGGTGCCGAGTTTAGCCCTCAGCTTAGGGCCCGGGCTCTTTACAGAATGGAGGAGGGGGTCCTCCTTGTCTGGTTATCTTGTCGTCTCCACGGGGGTGCTCTGTGGACCGCAGCTCTTTGCAGACCTCCAGCCTGGCAGGGCCTGCCGATGCGCTGTCCTCGCCTGATGCCCCTCCCTGCCCCTCTGCCTTCCAGGTGCCCCCTTGTTTCTCTCCCATCCTCACTTCCTCTACGCTGACCCGGTCCTGGCTGAAGCGGTGACTGGCCTGCACCCTAACCAGGAGGCACACTCCTTGTTCCTGGACATCCACCCGGTGAGCCGCTGCCATCCTCTGCGGTGGGTGGGGGTGGGGGCGCTGGGTCCTGGTTGGGACACACCTGGCCGCCTCCTCTCCCCGCAAGCACAGAGCCACTGTGGGCTGGGGTGGTGGGAAGCCTGGCTTTTAGGCTCTCGAGGCACCCAAGGTCCTTGCTTTAACGCGACTCCATAGTTCAAGGTAGTTCAAGGGATTTATGATCCCTTTCTAAGGTACTGGTTCTATCAGTGAACCCCAAGACAGTAAATTAATTAGAACTTATCAGCTGGGGTGTCTCCTACATGTGAGCTGGAGGCAGCCCTCTGGATGTGTCACGATACCATAAAGATCTTTAGGGAGAGCCTGGAACACCTTGCAGATAAATCACACAGGGAATTTGTCCCGTGTGAAGTTCTGTCTACAGGCAGGGAGCTGGACATCTGGCCCTCCCAGGGACATGCCCTCAGCCCGTGGCCTCTTTTCTTGGCACCTCTGGTCTCTGTAAAATATGCCCAGTTGGACTCAGTGGCTGCTACCATTGATTCAGAAATCTGTGGGTTTTCTGTTTCCTCGGTGGGCACTTGTGGTCTCTTCCTTGGGCCTTTAGTAAAATTAATTTTTTTTGAGACAGGGTCTCACTCTGTTGCCCAGGCTGGAGTGCAGTGGCATGATCATGGCTCACTGCAGCCTTGATCTCGCTGGGCTCAGGTGATCCTCCCCTCTCACCCTCCCTGGTAGCTGGGACTACAGACATGTGCCACCACGCCTGGCTAATTTTTATCTTTTGTAGAGATCACCATGTTGCCCAGTCTGCTCTCAAACTCCTGGACACAAGCGATCCTCCTGTCTAGGCCTCCCAAAGTGCTGGGATTACAGGCTTGAGCCACTGTGCCCAGCCAAGATTAATTTTCTGAATTGAAAAAGGAGAGCTGTGTATTTTTGAGGTGTACAATGTGATACTGTGATGTGCGTATATATTGTGGAATGCCTAAGAAAGCCAGTTAACCTAGGCATCACTCCACGTACTGACCGTGTGTTAGTGGTGAGAACATTTACAGTCCACGATCAGCAAATTTCAGGTATGCAGGACATGGCTGTTCAGTGTAGCCACTGTCATGTCGTACAGCGCAGTGTGGTGACCGCTGCTCTGCTGTACGGGAGATCTGAACTTGCTCCTCCTAACTGAAATCCTGTATCCTTTAACTGACCCCCATCCCCGCCTGCCTTCCCAGCCCCTGGTAGCCGGTATTCTAACCTCTGCTTCCATGAATTCAACTTTCTTTTTTTTTTTTTTTTTGAGATGGAGTCTCACTCTGGTCACCCAGGCTGGAGTGCAGTGGTGTGATCTCTGCTCACTGCAACCTTCTCCTCCCGGGTTCAAGCAATTCCCCTGCCTCAGCCTCCCAAGTAGCGGGGATCACAGGCATATGCCACCATGCCTGGCTAATTTTTGTATTTTTATTAGAGATTGGGTTTCACCACGTTGGCCAGGCTGGTCTCGAACTCCTGACCTCAGGTGATCCACCCACCTTGGCCTCCCAAAGTGCTGGGATTACAGGTTTGAGCCACTGTGCCCGGCCCGGTAGTTCTGGTTTTTGTTGTCTGGGGACGCTGTGTGCGTTTGCCCCGTTGCTGTGCTCCTCAGGCCGTTCCCGAAGCCCCACTGCGAATGCTGTTGTGCACCGTTTTTCTTTGTCCTTCCCGACCCCCTCAGCCCCTGCCTCGCCCCGGCTCTCTTCCTTCCTTCCCTCTCTTCTCAGTTAATTCCTCCTCCGACCTCTCTTGCTCTTCCACAGAATTCCACCATGAACACAGTCCCCTCTGTGCTCTCACTGATCACTTTACTTTCAGGGCACAGATTTTCTCCCCCACAGTGCCCCCGCTCACATCAAGAAAGAGGGAGTTAAGTCCGGGAGCCCAGGGAGAGGAAAACGGCTGTTCTGCAGCCACATTAGCTGCTGCCTCCACCTCTGCCTCCAGATCAGCTTGAGGTGCACAGGGAGAGGAAGCGGGCTCTGTTTCTTTGTGTTTTGAGCTGGGCACGTTGGGAAGAGAGGGATCCTGAAAGCCGCTTGCTGCCTGTTGGCCATTAGCCTTGAAAACCGAATGCATGTTGGAAGCTGCTTCCACGCGGCCACTTTAACTGGGGGAGGGCATGGGGACGGGGACTCCCAGGACTCTGCTTATGGTGGTATCACAGCTAAGACTTAGGAGAATGACAAAATTCAAAGCAAAATTAGCAAAGGGAGAAGCACCTAGGGTGAACCTGGGGACAGCCAGGCTGGAGCTTCCAGAGTCTTCTCCCAGGGGGAGTTGCGCAGGATGCACCTAATGTCTTCGGCCACGAGTTGTGGCAACGTGTAGGCGATGCTGTCTAGCAGGGGAGCCCATCAGAATTTCAGTGCGTAGGGGTCAATCACGTGGCAGATACCAAAATTCTAGACCCTGAGAAGGAAAGCAGGTGCTGAGCAGGAGCCAGATTGTTTGTACAAATAATTTCGGCCCAGTGAACGACTCTCATCACCTAGGGGATGGTGGGGACCCTCCTGAAATCTGGGTTTCTGGATGCCAGCCAAGGGCCGGCCTTGCCAGCAGAATTCCTAAGGAGAGCAGCTTCAGGCCTTCAGTGCGAACTGTCCGACTCACCGGAGCTCTCACGCCCATCTCCCCAGATCCTGGAGGGCAAGTGCTCCCCAGTCCTGGCGTCAAGGGTCATAATGAAGAAGACAGCTTTCCCTGCAGTGCACGTGACCCTAAGCCAGGCATTTATGGCCCCGAGTGTGGCTGTCTTGCATACCTTTTTTTGCTCTTGCATTATCTCTCGTTTATGGCTAAGGAAGCAGCTCTCAGTTAAGAAGACCCAGTTGCAGTTCTGTGACCCCAAATCGGGTTTTATTTCCACTGTAGTTTCCCCACTTCCTTCTGGAACCACCTTCTTGTGTTCGTTGACATACGCGTTTCACTTCTGTTATTTACTTTCAAAAAAAAAAAAAAGAGCTGGGTCTAGTTGCTCATGGCTGTAATTCCAGTGCTTTGGGAGGCTGAGGCAGGAAGGTCACTGGAGACTAGGAGTTCAAGACCAGCCTGGGCAACATAGTGAGACTCTGTCTCTACTAAAATAATAATGATGAATAGGCCAGACTCGGTGGCTCACCCTGTAATCCCAGCACTTTCGGAGGCTGAGGTGGACCGATCACTTGTGGCCAAGAGTTCGAGACCAGCCTGGTCAACATGGTGAAACCCTGTCTTTACTAAAAGTAACAAAAATTAGCCAAGTATGGTGGTACACACCTGTAGTCCCAACTACTGGGGGTGCTGAGGCAGGACAATTACTTGAACTCAGGAGGCAGAGGTTGCAGTGAGCAACTGCACTCCAGCCTGGATGACTGAGTGAGACTCTGTCTCAAAAAAAAATAAAAATAAAAAATACATTTCTGCACAAAGGAAGCTTTTTATTACTACCTCAACTAGGAAATTACAAAATTCTCCAAAAAAGAATACAACCATAAAAAATGAACAAGGAAAAATATATTAGTCTGGCTGGGCACGGTGGCTCATGCCTGGAATACCAGCACTTTGGGAGGCCGAGGCAGGCAGATCGTGAGGTCAGGAGTTAAAGACCAACCTGGCCAATATGGTGAAACCCCATCTGTACTAAAAATACAAAAATTAGCCAGGCATGGTGGCTCCCAGCTACTCGGGAGACTGAGGCAGGAGAATCACTTGAACCCAGGAGGTGGAGGTTGCAGTGAGCCGAAATCATACCACTGCACTCCAGCCTGGGTGACAGAGTGAGATTCAATCTAAAAAAAAAAAAAAAGGCTCTATGTAAGTGTTAGGCTCTATGTGAAGTACCGTTGTCTGCCAGCAGGGGCGAGCCTGGGGCAGCTCTCGGCACCACGGTCAAAGGTTTTGTGTAGGTGTGTTATTAGAGGGGCATTGGAGACCATGCAAACACCAGGCTGCGACCTACTCTTCAGAATGATCAGGGACAATTGGGGGTGACTTGAGAAGGGATTCTCATCCATGTTACTGAACTTGGAGGTTGAGGGGGCATCTGCAAATTGCCATTCTGCACTTTGGGAAATCTCACTGTCTTAGTGACGGGTGAGAGTGATTCGGTTTTTCCACCCCGAGACAGGCTTGCTTTACAGAAGGGGCCTCCTGAGGGTGTGGGTGTGACTGTGTGGGAGCATTTGTTTTCCTGTAAGGGGTGAGAACCAGGAGGAGATCCCAGGGCACTTGCACGACGTTGCTAGAACCGTGGACTCCCCCAACCCACGGCTGGTTTTAGGTCAGATATAAGCAAGCTCCACTGGGCAGTTAGCTGGGACGTCTGCCCTCTTGCCTGAGACCAGGGAGAGGAGGGCTTGGTGGCATCCCTGGAGCTTGGGGGTGGCCAGTCTCCTCACTGTGTGTGTTGCTGCAGGTCACTGGAATCCCCATGAACTGCTCTGTGAAACTGCAGCTGAGCCTCTACATGAAATCCATCAAAGGCATTGGGTGAGTGGGGACTGGCACTGGGGCTGCATTGCTCATTAGAGATGTGGAGTCTCAGCGCTCCTGCCCCAGACTCTAGTGGCGTACCCCAGAACCAGGGCATGGGGAAGGGAGAGGGTCCTGTTGGGGGAGGAATCCAGTCCCTGCAGATCTTCTCCTGAGGGATCTTGGTTTTGAGCCAGGTCCTACCTGCACCCTGATATTCCTTCCCCAGAACCCCACTTTTCTTTCTTAACATTCACCCCCTCCCCGCCAGAATCTTCAGTCCAAGCTGTCTCCTACTCAACAGAGTGGCAAAAATGAACGCCTGGAAAAACCTAATGTTAGCAAATGGAAACTTACCAAACAGCATTCTTAAGTTTGACTACTCATTTTACAAGAATTTTTTGAGCACTGATGTCTTCTTTTTGATTTTTAAAATAAAACAGCTTTATGGAAATATAATTCACATACCCTAACACTCACCCTTTAAAAATGCACAATTCAAAATTAAAACATTAAAACAAACTCCCTCCCCCAAAATAAAAGACACAATTCAATGATTTATGGTCTATTCACTGAATTGTGCATCTGTCACCACAATCAATTTTGGAACGTTTTCATCACCCCCAAAAGAAACCACACATCCATTAACACTCACTCCCAATTCCCTCAACCCCGGGCAGCCCCGCTCCTCTACTTCCTGTCTCTGAGGACTTGCCTGTTCTGGGCATCTCACATACACAGGATCATACCCTCTCATGTACACGGGATCATACGCTGTCATATACATGGACTCATATGCTGTCATATACGGGATCATACGCTCTGATACACACGGAATCATACGCTCTCATACACACGGAATCATACACTCTCATACACACGGGATCATACGCTGTCATATACATGGACTCATACGCTGTCATATACAGGATCATATGCTCTCATACACATGGGATCATATGCTCTCATATACACGGGATCATACGCTCTCATACACACGGGATCATACGCTCTCATATACACGGGATCATATGCTGTCATATACATGGACTCATACGCTGTCATATACAGGATCATACGCTCTCATACACACGGGATCATACGCTCTCATACACATGGGATCATACGCTCTCATATACACGGGATCATACGCTCTCATACACACGGGATCATACGCTCTCATACACGGGATCATAGGCTGTCATATACATGGACTCATACGCTGTCATAAACAGGATCATACGCTCTCATACACACGGGATCATACGCTCTCATATACACAGGATCATACGCTCTCATACACACGGGATCATACGCTCTCATATACACGGGATCATATGCTGTCATATACATGGACTCATACGCTGTCATATACAGGATCACACGCTCTCATACACACGGGATCATACGCTCATACACACGGGATCATACGCTCTCATATACACGGGATCATATGCTATGTGGTCTTTGCATCTGGCTTCTTTCATTTAGGATCGTGTTTTCAAGGTTCATGTTGTAGCGTGGATCAGTACATTTCCTGGCTGGATGATATTCCATTGTCTGGACAGGCCACACTTATTTATCAGTTGATGGATGTTTGGCCATTATGGATAATACAGCTGTCAATGTTCCCACCGAAGCCCAGTGTGGACATCTATTCCCGTTTTCCTTAGGTGTGTGCCGAGGGATGGAATGGCTGGGGCCTATGTTAATGCTTTGTTTAACCGTTTGAGGAGCAGCCAGACTTGGCACAGCCTCTGCCCCGTTCCCATTCTTACCAGCAGCGCCCAGGCTTCTGCTTCCTCCCACGTGCACCCGCACTTGCCGTAACATTAGCTCTGCTAGAACTTGTTGAGGGATTATACTGGTTTGTTGCCATGTCAGTGTCTGCACTTTTTAGCATATTTGAAATAGTTTTGTTTAAAAAAAAAAATCTCTTAGAAAAATCCGTGGGTTGCAGGAATGTGAGCCTCTATTCAGCTTTGTCCAATGCCTCTCGGCTGGAAAGAATCACACTTTGTCAGAGGATGGCAGGGAGTAATAGCTGTCGGCTCATTTCCTGCATCCTGCCCCTGCATTTTATTTTTGTATTTTGAGGCCACTTCGGGGATTTGTTCTTGATGGTGGTGAAACAGCCCTTCGCAGCCCAAGGCTTCCCTCTGGTTCCACCACATGGCACCTGGCCTGCTAACTGGGATGTGACTCGGGCCAAGTGGGTGACCCAGATAGAAGAGGCCACCTGCGGCCGAGGACACAGCCCCTTCCCGGCACCCACTGATGGTGGCCCCATGGAGATGTGGGCTCAGTGTGGCCACGTCCTCTGCGTTTTTCCAAAGGGCCTCCATATCTGGATTTTAACAGGAGCTCTGTCAATTTTTATTTATTGGGAGGTAATTCACATTCTTTATTTGAGACAAAGTCTTGCTCTGTCACCCAGCCTGGCTCACTGCAACCTCTGCCTCCCGGGTTCCAGTGATTCTCCTGCCTCAGCCTCCTGAGTAGCTAGGATTACAGGTGCTCACCACACCCAGATAATTTTTGTATTTTTAGTGGAGACAGGATTTCACCAAGTTGGCGAGGCTGTCCTCGAACTCCTGACCTCAGGTGATCTGCCTTCCCAGAGTGCTGGGATTATAGGCATGAGCCACCGTGCCCGGCCTAATTTACATTCTTGACACACGGTTCATGTGGGCAGCTGGATTGTTCTCTGCCAGTGACCTGTGCACTGGCCGCTGTGGGCCACTCACCCAACCTCTCTGGGCCTCGTGGCTGCTGACCTCCCTGTGGACCGGTAACAAGGTACTCCAGGGAAGTGGTCTCAATGGCGGATATTTAGGGCCACGAGGGATGGCTGTGGGAAAAGTCTAGAGACACAGCTGTCAGGAAAGCAGCCAAAGTGGAGGGCCCCGCCCACTGTCTTTCCATCCTGGCTTGTCCTCTGCAGGTGATAGTGTGAGTCCACTTCACTGTGCAATGCCCTGCAAACAAGTGGCTCGAGAGACCGCCAATAATTGTGATTGGGGCATCTGAGCCTTATTTTTTTTATTTTTCAATTTTTTTTTTTTTGAGACGAAGTTTTGCTCTTGTTACCCAGGCTGGAGTGCAATGGCGCGATCTCGGCTCACCGCAACCTCCGCCTCCTGGGTTCAGGCAATTCTCCTACCTCAGCCTCCTGAGTAGCTGGGATTACAGGCACGCGCCACCATGCCCAGCTAATTTTTTATATTTTTAGTAGAGATGGAGTTTCACCATGTTGACCAGGATGGTCTCGATCTGTTGACCTCGTGATCCACCGGCCTCGGCCTCCCAATATTTATCAATTTTTAAGACAGAGTCTCTCTCTGTCGCCCAGGCTATCGTGCAGTGGTGCAATTTTGGCTCACTGCAACCTCTGCCTCCTGGGTTCAAGCAATTCTCCTGCCTCAGCCTCCTGAGTAGCTGGGATTACAGGTACCCACCACCCCACCCAGATAATTTCTGTATTTTTAGTAGAGACGGGGTTTCACCATGTTTGCCAGGCTGGTCTCAAACTCCTGATCTCAGATGATCCACCTGCCTTGGCCTCCCAAAGTGCTGAGATTATAGGCGTGAGCCACTGTGTCCAGCCTGTGACTGGGGGATTTGAGCCTTTTGTGCTGACTTTGGCACCCAGCCCTGAGTGACTTCCATCTCCTCTCCCTACTGCCGTTCATGGCGAAGTGACAGAATATTTGTGTGTCCATTTCTTTACTGGGATTTTACAAAAGTAACAGTAATAATAATAAATGTGTCGGGCGCTTTTACATGCTGGGTGGTTTCCTAAGCACGTTACTCATCACTGCACTGGATCCTCCCTAGAGCCCTAGGAGGCGCTATATTAATGATATCGCCCTTATACAAGAAGAGACACAGTACCAGGACCAAGGTCAGGAGCTTGCAAGCGGCTATGTCAGGGGTCCCCGAGGCTACTGCAGGCTCGATGATTTGCTGGGAAGCCTCAGGACACAGCATGCAGTTGTACACATGGCTGGGATTTATTACAGTAAATGGATTCAAAGCAGATCAGCAAAGGGAAAAGCCACAGCAGGCCAAGTCCAGAGGAAAGCAGGCGCCGGCTTCCGGAGCCCTCTCCCGAGGAGTTGCTCAGTTCCTGCTGCAGGCAGTTGTGACAACCCACATGACATGTCATCTGCCAGAGAAGCCCATTAGAGAGATTCAGCACCCAGGGTTTTTACTGGGGGCTGGTCATGTGGCCACCCTCTGCCTGGCAGGTACCGAAATTCCAGACCCTTAGGAGGCGAGCTGGTGTTCGGTTATCAACCACGTTGCTTGTACGGATTGCTCAGGCACAGTGAGCCGTCCTTGTCAGTTAGGGAGCAGTGGGAAACCTCTGGAATCCAGGCTCCCAGACACCAGCCCCGGGTCAGCCTTGCCAGCAGCCCGTGTGAGGAGGGAAGACTCCAGCCTGCCACATGAACACGTGCCCGCACGGCGGCCCAGGTGGGATTTGAACCCATGCAGGGAGCTCAAGTGTGCGCCATTAACCACCTCGCCACACTGCCTTTTCTGCTAGACACCTGCTGTGTGTGGGGATCTGTGCGGGGGAAGTGGTGAGCCAGCCCACCCTGCTGCTCGGTACTGGGTGTGAGCTGCTGTATTCACTTCCTGTTGTTGCTGTTACAAATTTGCCACAAATTTCGTGGCTCACTTTTAAAGACTGTCTGACAGTGTGGGAGGTCTGAAGTCTGAAGGGGCCCAGCAGGGCTAAGATCAAGGTAAGGCCTTGTTCCTTCCGTAGGCTCTGGGGAGGACCTGTGCCTTGCCCTTTTCAGCTTCTAGAAGCTGCCGCCTACCATCCTTAGCTCACGACCTTAATCCTGACCCTCCCTGTCTTTCCCTTTTGTTTGTTTATTGTTGCTGAGACACCGTCTCGCTCTGCTGTCTAGACTGGAGTGCAGTGGTGCGATCCGTAGTTCACTGCAGCCTCAACCTCCTGGGCTTAGGTGATCCTCCCACCTCAGCCTCCTGAGTAGCTGGGACTACAGGCGCGTGCCACCACAACCTACTAATTTTTGTGTGTTTTTTGTTTTTTTTTGTAGAGATGGGGTCTCACTATGTTGTCTGGGCTGGTCTTGAACTCCTGGGCTCAAGTGATCCTCCCACCTTAGCCTCACAAAGTGCTGGGATTCCAGATGTGAGCCACTGTGCCTGGCCTCTCCCTCTTTAAAGGTGGCTCACACCTGTAATCCTCGAACTTTGAAAGGCCAAGGTGGGCCATCACAAGGTCAGGAGTTCAAGACCATCCTTGCTAGCATGGTGAAACCCATCTCAACTAAAAAAAAACAAATAGCCAGGCGTGGTGGCATGCCCCTATAATCCCACCTACTCGGGAGGCTGAGACAGGAGAATTGCTTGAACCCAGGAGGCAGAAGTTGGAGTGAGCCGAGATCATGGACAGAGTGAGACTCCATCTAAAAAAACAAATTAGTGTGTGTTTTTTTTTAGGTTTCTTAAAATTTGTTTTTGCCTTTTTCATTTTCTCTCTCTTGCCTGATTGCTCTGGCTAGGACTTCCCGCTTCTTTCTTAAGGACTCTTGAGATATTCCAGGACACTCTCCCCATCTCAGAGCCTTGTAGTCACATCTGCGTGGTCCCCTTCGCTGTGGCAGGTCACGGTTCCCACACTTTGCCGGGGCAGGTCACAGCTTCCCAGATGTCGCATTGGTCTTCCGGTTTCCTTAGGCACCTCTCGGCTGTGACAGTCTCTCATCGCTCCTTGTTTCTGATGACAGTGACGCTTTTGAGAACCCTGTCAGGTATTTTGTAGGATGCCCCCTCCAAGGGATTGGTCTGGTGCTTTTCTCATATCAGCCTGGGGTGATGGGTTCTGGGGGAGGAAGACACAGAAAGGTCCGGTTTCATGGCGTCTAGGGGACCTTCTGTCAGCACCCTGCATCACTGTTGATATCGACCTCACTCGCCTGGACGAAGTCGTGTCTGACGTTTCTCCAGTGTCCAGTTAACTTTTTTCTCCCTTTGGATTTTATTATCTTTTGAACTTGACATATAAGTTTTAATTTCACAGGTAATATGAACATATCTTCTTGAGGGGAAAATAGAGTTTCCCGTGACTCCCCGTGGTCCCCAGTCATAGCCACCGTTGTCCTTTGCCGCACTTCCTTGGGGCCTTTTCCTGCTTATTTACATTCACGTGTACGTTGCCATAGAGAAGATGTATGTTGTTTGTTTGTTTTTGCTAGTCCAGGCATCACTGAACATCTCTGTGCCTCTTTGCACATGCGTGGGCATCTCTAGGGCAGTTTCTGAAGAGCGTAATTGCTAGGTCCTCGGGAATATTGGTAGAATTAGGTTGGCAATATAGATCAGAAAACTCAGCAGTTGTGGCTCAGATGGGACAAAGGCATTTTGTTATTTCAAAAATCTTCTTTTAGAGGATGTCTGAAGGCAGACAGTCCAAGTATCGCAGCGTCCAAGAGACATTCATGGTCCAAGTTCCACTCATCTTTCCGTTCCATTTCCCAGCCCGTGGCTTCCATCCTCAAGGTCACCTCTGGTCCCAGTGGCTACAGAGCCCCAGCCCTTGCAACTGCATTCCAGGCATCTGAAAGGGAGGAGGGAAAAAAGGTTCACCTTCCAGCTGTGAAAGCTTCTTTTTAAGCAGCCTTCCCAGCCATCCCATGTAACGCTTCTGCGAACATCTCATTAACCAGAACTTGGTCACAGAGCCTCGCTTGCCACAAGAGAGGCTGAGATGGAGTCTTTAGCTGGGTGAATTGCTGTCCTGAGTAAAACTTGGGTTCTGTTTCTGAAAGGGATCAATGGATTTTGGCTGGATCACTGGTGGTCTCTGCCCTGTAGGAGATGTGAGTTTTTAATTTAAAAAGATTATTATCAAATTGTGAAGCTCTTTGCCAGAGGAGATTCCTTCTAGCAGCCCATCAAAACACTGGTTCCTAAGTCCACAGCAGTCGAGTGCCACGACTTCTCATCCTCGGGGGTATATGCCACAACCCCCAGTGGATGCCTGAAACTGGGGATAGTGCTGAACCCTACGCAGCATGAAGTATGCTTCTTCCTACACATACACATCTATGAGAAAGTTAATTTGTGGCAGGGCGTGGTGGCTCATGCCTGTAATCCCAGCACTTTGAGAGGCTGAGGCGGGTGGAACTCCCGAGGTCAGGAGTTCACCACAAGCCTGGCCAACATGGTGAAACCTCATCTCTATTAAAATACAAAAAATTAGCCAGGTGTGGTGGCAGGTGCCTGTAATCCCAGCTACACGGGTGGCTGAGACTGGAGAATTGCTTGAACCCGGGAGGCAGAGGTTACCAAGAACACACCATTGCACTCCAGCCTGAGAAATAAGAACAAAACTCCATCTCAAAAAAAAAAAAAAAAGTTAATTAGTAAATTAGGCATAGCAGCAATTAACAATAACTAAGAATTGGGTAATTATAACAATATACTATAATAAAAGTTATGTGACCGTGGGCTCTCTCAGAATGTCTTATTGTACTGTACTGAGCATAAGAAATGGCAGAAATCAAAACCATGGATAAGGAGGGATGACAGGTTGCAGAATCAAGTCCCTTCTGGCCCCAGAGTTTATGCTCACAGGTTTAAAGCTGTGTGATGTCAAACAGCCCTATGGCAAAACATCTCACCTGATCACAAGGTTGAGAGTTTGAGACCAGCCTGACCAACATGGTGAAACCCTGTCTCTAAAAACAAAAAACAAAAATTAGCTGGGAGTGGTGACACGCACCTGTAATTCCAGCTAGTCTGGAGGCTGAGGCAGGAAAATCACTTGAACCTGGGAAGCAGAGGTTGCAGTGAGCCGAGATTGCGCCACTGTACTCCAACCTGAGTGACAAAGTGATACTCTGTCTCAAAAAGAAAGAAAAAAAGAAAAAATGCATCTTTTAAAGAATTAAAATGAGTCTTATTTACTAGTGTTATTGAGGGCTGTAGACAGACCTACACCTGGGGACAGTTTTGTCACGTGGCTCCTAAAGTGTTTGTGCTCATTGTTTGTATTTGGTGGTGGGGGTTAGTGTGTGCAAAATCCTCCTAAACCTGTTTAGAGGTTGTATTCAAGCAGAATTATAGCAAGGTTAGGGGGTAAGACTTTGTCTCACACATCTGTGTCTTGCTTATTTCCAGGCAAACTGGGAAGATTGAGCCGGTGGTCCTGCCGCTGCTCTGGTTTGCAGAGGTAAGGGTGTGTGGGGCACAGTATCGGGGGCTTTTGTTAGGGGCCAATGTGGGCATTTGAGGCAGGGGCGGGGAGCAGCTTGTAGAGAGGGAGAGGGCTGAGGCAGGGTAACCGGACTGTGACATGGACCGGCCTATCAGAAACTTCACACTGTCTAAGTGCCCTATGTCAGTTATCCCACCGAGTTGAGAGGGATCCCTTGAGATGGGGAAGACAGAAGCTCATAAAGCGGTGAAGTCCCTGGCCCTGGGTGTAAAATAATTTTGTTGAGGCATGTGACCTCCTCTCCTGAGAAAGGGATTTGGTTTCCAAGGTGTCAGCTTTTCACTTAAACTTACTTCTCTCCCAGCTTTTAAGAATTCCTTCTGGCCTAGCCTATTATTTTATTTTCTGTATTGTTTCTTGCCTGCCTCATTTTAAATCAGGGTGAGCTAATGGCCGGGATAGACAAGCCTCCAGATGTCAAGTTCACTTCCTGCTAAGCACAATCTGAAGGGGGTTGACTGGGAGGCAGAACTCTGTTCCCTGCAGTAATTCAGGGCTCCAGGACCCTTTCCATCGGGACCCTTTCCATTTAGTGGTGGGGAAAGAGATGGAGAGTCACGTGAGGCCAGGCCCACCTCTCATTGGTCAGGACAGGATCACATGGTCCTGCCCAACTGCAAGGGAGTCTGGGAATTGTAGTCTTACCTTGTGTCCTGGAGGGAGGAGGTCCCTGGCAGGCTCCAACACAGGCTTTAGCTGGGTAGCTTGAAATGGGGAAGGGCTGAGGCGGGCACAGGGGAAGGTGTTGGGTGGCATTTGCGCTGTAATCCACAGCCTGCGGCCCCAGATCATGTGTTTGTCATTCTACCTCCTCAGAGTGGGGCCATGGAAGGGGACACACTGCACACATTCTACACCCAGCTGGTGTTGCTGCCCAAGGTGATGCACTATGCCCAGTACGTGCTCCTGGCACTGGGCTGCATCCTGCTGCTGGTCCCTGTCATCTACCAAATCCGGAGCCAAGTAGGTGCTGGCCAGAGCATGGCCCTGGCTGACAGCCATTTGCTTGCCTGCTGGGGGAGAGGGGCTCAGGTCAGACCCCCCTGGCCAACTGCAACCTGGAGCCCACCTCCAGCAGCGGTCCTGCAGTGGTCACTTCTGGGGGCTGCACCGCACGCTTGTGTCTTTTGCATGCCGCGTTGCCACTACTCTGCTGTTCTGGAAGGCCCGGGACCCCCTCTTGAAGGGGCTGCAGGTGGGCTTTGAGTAATGAGACCTGGTACTTGCATCATTCATTCATCAAGTCAGCACCCAGGGATGCCAGGCTCTGGTGGGGGCAAGGGGACAGCACCGGAGGAGACAGCTGAGGTCCCTGCCCTGGGGGATTGAAGGGGGATTGAGAGGAGATGGCATTCTAGCCCGGAGACAGATGAAAACCAAGCAAATCAGCAGAAAAGACAATTTCACCATGATAGGAACTGTGAGGGGCTAGAGCCATGATGTCAAATAGAAGTGCAGCGTGAGGCTGGGTGCGGTGGCTCACACCTGTAATCCCAGCACTTTGGGAGGCTGAGGTGGGCGGATCATGAGGTCAGGAGATCGAGACCATCCTGGCCAACATGGCAAAACCCCGTCTCTACTAAAATACAAAAAATTAGCCAGGCGTGGTGGCTCTCGCCTGTAATCCCAGGTACTCTGGAGGCTGAGGCAGGAGAATCACTTGAACTTGGGAAGCGGAGGTTGCAGTGAGCCAAGATCACACCACCGCTCTCCAGCCTGGTGACAGAGCAAGATTCTGTCTTAAAAAAAAAAAAAAATACAGCATGAGCCACGTGTGAGGTTTTCAGTTTAAATTTTCTAATAGCCACTTAATAGTCAAAGGAAACAGGTGAAATGAATTTTAATTTTATTTAACCCAAATATATCCAAAGTCTTATCACTTCGACATGTAATCAGTGTAAAAGATGTCAATGTTTTTGCAGCTTTTTTCTTTTTTTGCATGAAGTCTTTGCAGTTCTGTGTGTGTTATTCATGTGCAGCAGGTCTCAATTTGGACTGGTCCCATTTCAAGGACCCACCAGCCATAAGCAGCTTCCAGACTGAACAGGGCATGTCTGGGGCGAGTGGGGATAAGGACAGATGGAGCTTCAGGAAGGCCTCTAGGAAGAGGTAGATAGTGAGCTTTGATGTGGAGGCCAGGGAGGCACTCGGCACGGAGCCACAGGAGGAATGCTGCCAGGAGCGGCCAGTGCAAAGGCCCTGGGGCAGGGATGGGCAAAGGGTCAGGCAGGGCCAGGGTGGCTGGCGGGGAGTGAGGGCAGGGACAGAGGTAGGAGGTGGTGTCTGAGAGTGGGCAGGCCAGGCTCCCTGAGGCCTTGTGGTGCAGAGTGAGCAGTTTGGAACTGATTCTGGGGGTGACACAGCCCTTGGAGCCTTTTAAAGAGGGGAATCGCTAGGTCAGCTGCTGGCTCAGTACAGGCTCTGGGCTGGGATGGGTGGAAGCCTGGGCCCAGTGGGGAGGCCCCAGCGGGTGAGAAAGTCGGTGGCTTAAACAGGATGGGGCAGCTGCTCTCAGGAGGGAATAGAAGTGGGGAAGAGCTTCAGACCTTCAGACGCAGGAGGAAGAGGGGTGGCAACAGCGCCCCTCCTTGCTTTTGGGTCATTTGTGTATTCATTCATGGCATTCACTGCCAGGCCCTTTGCACAGGTCAGGGGATACAGAAATAACCAGAACAGGAGGCCCGCAGCGAAGATAGGCAAGCTACCCAGTCACACAAGGGCCAGGAGAGTGTCACAGAGCTCAAGGGGCAGTGGAGACAGGGTAGTGGCTGCCATGGGAAGGGAAGGGATGCCGCCCCCTGGCAGGGCGTCGGGAAGGGCTGTTTTTGGATGCATGGACCAGAAAGCCACCCTCTGAGATGGCCCCCACCTGCGTCATCCCGGGGCCACGGGCCGCGGCCTTCTGAGGGGCCCTGGGGCCACCCCGCTGCCCTGCTGGTCTTGGCTTCTCTGCCGCCCTTGCTTCTTTAGCTCTGTTGAATGATTCTCCTCTCCCCTTTCTCGGGGAGGCTTGCGTGCTTCCAGGCTTGCGTGCTGGGTGAGAATAATTCGTTCTTGGTTCTTCACCTCGGCTTTCAGACCTGAAACCCAACTTTCCTTCCAAATTCCTGTCCTCAGCGGGGAAAAGGTTTCCACAGTGCGAGGTGGTGACCTGGACACCAGCTGTCATCACGTCACTCCTCTAGTGTTTGAGTTTGAGCTCCCGACGAACAGTGACCATTGTGTCCAGCCAGCCCTTTGGCGCGCCCCCTTCTCTGTTACCGCCCCCGGGGGGAGCCAGGACCCAGCAGGGCTGTGACTTCAGCAAGCAGAAGGGAATTCCTTCCAGTTTCTAGACTGAATTATGCAGGGAGGAGAGAGGGAATAGGAACCCAGGCTCCCAGATCGTGAATACCTTCCCGTGGCAGAGCATCACGTGGGTGTCCACAGGCAAGGAGGCACAGCCATACACGGGGGTCCCTGAGGACTGGCTGAGGGGCTGGGCCAGAAAAGGCCACAACAGCCTCATCCCTCTGTCCCCTTCTGTCTCTCTCCAAATCGTCCATCAGAATGGGAACAGGGAAGGAGGGTAAGGAAGCACAAGATCTCTAGGCTTGGGCTGGGGTCCCCTTCCCTGCCGCAGCCCCCAAATCAGCGTCCCAGCCTCAAATCCAGTAAGAATGCCACGATTGGCAGTGCGGCTCCCCCCCGCAGGTTTTATTGGAGGCCACGTAAGTGAAATGTATCCCGTGTGTTTTGATTTAGCAGGGCCTTACTTACCAGTTTTTATGTGATTTGCCCTGATTCTTTAAAAAATCACATGATGGTAAACTCAGCATATTTTAATTTCTCTTTAGAGAAATTTTTTCTCCTTGAGCCAGGTATGGTGGCTCTTGCCTATAATCCCAGCTACTTGGGAGGCTGAGGCAGGAGGATCTCTTGAGCCCAGGAGTTGGAGGCTGCAGTGAGCCATGATCACTCCATTGCACTCCAGCCTGATAACAGAGTGAGACCTTGTCTCAAAAATTAAAAAAAAAGAAAGAAATGTTTTTTCTCAAGTTATTCTTAAAAAAAAAAAAATCAAAAGCATTTTAACAGAACAGTCTGTTCCTGGTTGGTTGTAAACAACCCCCACTGGCTGTCAGCCTCCAGGGCCTATCTCCCCACCTTGCTTCCTCGCTGGGTTACCTTTTCAAGTGGCCGAGCCCTTTTCAGCTTGGCTTGTCCGCCTCCCAGGTGAGTTTCCCGAAAATGATTTTACTCCATCTAACAGCAGCGGGTCCCCACATCTCCGCCCCTGCAGGCGTTGAGGGTTGTTGGACTCTAAACCTCTGTACCTCTCCTGTTTCCTCTTCGCCTTTTGCAAATCAAAGAACCATGTACGACCTTTTTCATGTGGCTTCAACATCAACTATAAATTAGCTTGGTTATCTTCTAGGAGAAATGCTATTTATTTTGGAGTAGTAGTAAAAAGGGCTCAAAGGATAAGGAGGCCATTCAGGCCTATTCTGAATCCCTGATGACGTCAGCTCCCAAGGGCTCTGTGCTGCAGGAAGCAAAACTGTAGGTGGGTACCAGGTAACGCCGTGCGCCTCCCCGTCCCTTCCCGCATCAAGTAGAATGCTGGCGGCTTCAAACGCTGGGGGTCCTGCTCATGCCTTCAGCCTCAACTTCACCGGGAGTATCTACAGACTGAAGATGCATATTTGTGTATTTCACTTTTGGAGAAACTGCCCCTTCCTATGTTCTGAGTGAATAGCGGTTTCTTTGATTCCAGAGGGGAACTGATGTTCTATGGGCTGGTGCCTATTTGCAAGGTCACATTAGGAAGGCAGGAACAAGTCTTAGGCCTGCTGCTTCTCAAATCTCTTGTGCAGTAGACTCCCCTGGGGAAGTTCGCTAGAATGCAGATCCCTGGGCTGTCTTCTAGCCTCCTGGAAGAGAATCATAGTAGAATCCGTATTTTAATGGACCCTAATGAGATTCTGATGTTGAAACATGTTTGAGAAACATTGATCTGAATCTGGGATGACTGGCCGGGCGTGGAGGCTCACATCTGTAATCCAGCACTTTGGGAGGCTGCGGCAGGTGGATCGTTTGAGACTAGCCTGGCCAACATGGTGAAACCCTGTCTCTACTAAAAATACAAAAAAAAAAAAAAACAAAAACAAAACCAGGCGCGGTGGCTCATGCCTGTAATCCCTGCACTTTGCGAGGTCGAGGTGGGTGAATCATGAGGTCTGGAGTTCCAGACCAGCCTGGCCAACATGGTGAAACCCCGTCTCTACTAAAAATACGAAAATTAGCTAGACATGGTGGCGTGTACCTATAGTCTCAGCGTCTCAGGAGGCTGAGGTGGGAGAATCACTTGAACCCGGGAGGTGGAGGTTGCACTGAGCCGAGATCATAGCCACTGCACTCCAGCCTGGGCAACAGTGCGAGACTCCATCTAAAAATAAGTAAATAAATAAAAATACAAAGAAATTAGCCAGATGTGGTGGTGCACACCTGTAATCCCAGCTACTCAGGAAGCCAAGGCAGGAGAATTGCTTGAACCCAGCACATGGAGGTTGCAGTGAGTCAAGATTGTGCCACTGCACTCCAGCCTGGGCAACAGAGCGAGACTCCATCTCCAAAAGATAAAAATAAAATAAAGTAATAACTAACTAAATAAATAAATCTGGGATGACTGACCAAGAACAAAGAATGTAGGCATCAGTTGAACACCAACTGTATACTTGGGACTGGCTCTGAGGGTAGGATTGCCGGGCTCAGCACTAACAAGCACAAGAACCATAGAATGGTGCCTGTTAAAGATGAATTTCTGGTAAGCAATGAATTTTTTTTTTTTTTTGGAGATGGAGTTTTGCTGTTGTTGCCCAGGCAGGAGTGCAGTGGCTCACCGCAACCCCACCTCCCAGGTTCAAGTGATTCTCCTGCCTCAGCCTCCTGAGAAGCTGGGATTACAGGCATGCGCCACCATGCCTGGCTGATTTTGTATTTTTAGTGGAGATGGGGTTTTCTCCATGTTGGTCAGGCTGGTCTCGAACTCCTGACCTCAGGTGATCCACCCACCTCGGCCTCCCGGAGTGCTGGGATCCCAGGCATGAGCCACCACGCCTGGCTGTGATGAGTACTTTTTATTCATGCAATGATAGGACACATGTATACTGGAAACCCATCTGTTGTTCACCTAAAATTCACATTCTGTGGCAGCCGTATCTGTCAGGGAAGTAGGCTGATGCCCCTGGGGGAGGGTCTCCATTTCCTTGGCCAGGCTCTGTCGGGCTGTGGTCTTGGGAGAGCTGTGGCTGGGGATGGTGTCCTTGCCAGGGGAGGTGACGGGCAGAGCCTCAGGCCCTACAACTTAGGTTTGGGCAGGGGTGAGTCACTCTACAGTGGTGCCTCTGATAATAGCTGTTACTTTAGTTTCTGAAAAATGTTCTGCCCTCGAGAGCTTCTGAGGCTGGGCCTCCTCGTGTGAAAATAGCTTTCCAGGGAGCCACATTGTGGGGACACAAGGCACCAGCTCGCTCTTTGGGGCCAGTTGGCTGCCTCCAGCTCATCTCACTTGCCAGGGCTGGGCAAGGAAACCAAAAGGAAGATGCCAAGGAGTGGGCAGGGGCCAAAGGAAGATGCCAAGGAGTGGGCGTTGGCAGGCGCTGCCAGCCTGTGTCTCAGTCAAGCTCTGGGGGACCCTTCCCGCCCATCTGGGAGTAGGGGGCAGGGGAGTGTTAATATCAGGAGAGAACCCTTCCCGGGACAGGGTTCCCAGGCCCCTCTTCCTTTCCTCCCTCCCAGGATTCCTCCAGGGCACTGTGCTGGGCACGGTTTGGCCCCATTGGTGTCCCTGCTCCCTTCTGCAGAAACTTGCTTGGGATTCTCAGGGTGCAGGGGTGGGGGCCCGTCCGCTGTAGAGCAGGGAGTTTTTCACTCTCAGCACAGATGGAGTGGCCAGGGCCCCATGGCTGCCCCTCCCTGGTCATTACCAGGATGGCCTGTCGTCTCCTCCCCAAACAAAACTGGGGTCTCCTCTTTATTTTGCCAACAGAATCCAATTTTTAGGTGATTAGACAAGTGTTTGACTTAAAAAGACTCTCCTGCCCTGCCTTCTGGAAGGTCTCAGGTCAGCCCAGCACCCTAGATCCCCTAGGCATGGGTAATGGGGGGTGCCCAGCCCAGTACCCTAGATCCCCTAGGCATGGGTAATGGGGGGTGCCCAGCCCAGCACCCTAGATCCCCTAGGCATGGGTAATGGGGGGTGCCCAGCCCAGCACCCTAGATCCCCTAGGCATGGGTAATGGGGGTGCCCAGCCCAGCACCCTAGATCCCCTAGGCATGGGTAATGGGGGTGCCCAGCCCAGCACCCTAGATCCCCTAGGCATGGGTAACGGGGGTGCCCAGCCCAGCACCCTAGATCCCCTAGGCATGGGTAATGGGGGGTGCCCAGCCCAGCACCCTAGATCCCCTAGGCATGGGTAACGGGGGGTGCCCAGCCCAGCACCCTAGATCCCCTAGGCATGGGTAACGGGGGGTGCCCAGCCCAGCACCCTAGATCCCCTAGGCATGGGTAACGGGGGGTGCCCAGCCCAGCACCCTAGATCCCCTAGGCATGGGTAACGGGGGTGCCCAGCCCAGCACCCTAGATCCCCTAGGCATGGGTAATGGGGGTGCCCAGCCCAGCACCCTAGATCCCCTAGGCATGGGTAATGGGGGTGCCCAGCCCAGCACCCTAGATCCCCTAGGCATGGGTAATGGGGGGTGCCCAGCCAAGCACCCTAGATCCCCTAGGTATGGGTAACGGGGGGTACCCAGCCCAGCACCCTAGATCCCCTAGGCATGGGTAACGGGGGGGTGCCCAGCCCAGCACCCTAGATCCCCTAGGCATGGGTAATGGGGGGTGCCCAGCCCAGCACCCTAGATCCCCTAGGCATGGGTAACGGGGGGTGCCCAGCCCAGCACCCCATCCCCTAGGCATGGTTAATGGGGGGTACCCAGCCCAGCACCCCGATCTCCTAGGCATGGGTAATGGGGGATGCCAAGCCCAGCACCCCGAATCCCTAGGCATGGGTAATGGCGGGTGCCAAGCCCAGCACCCCGATCCCCTAGGCATGGGTAACGGGGTATGCAGTGTCCGCCAGTAGCCGGCTTTAGCTTGGGTTGGGCACCTGGGTGGTGGCCCGTGGTCCCCCTGCAGGCCACTGCTGCCCCCTCTTGGGTCCTGTTCTGAGTCTCAGGCCTGAGTTCCTGGGCCCCGCACCTTGCCCTGTACCTGGGTGTAGGGATGGCCCAGAGGGGCTGCCTTGCTTGGGAGAAGGGGAAAAAAGGATATTTTTATATAAATAAGAAAAGACAGTCCCTCTGGACCGATGAGGCCTGCCGTAGGCCAGGGGCTTGGTAAACTGTGTGTCCACTGGTCTGTAGCCCTTCAGTTGGGTGCTTTTGTGCAGTGAACAGCCTGGACAACTGTCCAGGTGCCCTTTCAGGGAGATATTCCTTGACCTTTCTTAGCTTCTCACTGACCTTTCTCCCACTCGAAGTCTGTGTTCCTCAGTCAAACAAAAGTGGCAGGGAGGAGGAGATGGAGGAGGAGGAGGAGGAGATGAAGGAGGAGATAGAGGAGGAGGAGATGATGGAGGAGGAGGGGGAGGGGGAGGAGGAAGAGAATGTGGATGATGGAGGATGGGGAGAAGGGGGAGGAAGAGGAAGAGGAGCCTGCTTCACCCTCTGGCACCTGGAGGCTTTGTTTATGTGTCTTCCTTGGGAAATACCAGGGGTTCTTTGACAGCTTGGGGTGGTTTCCCTTTCTACTTTTGAGTGAGAGTTTCTCAGGTCATGGCTCTTTGGGCCCACATGACTGAGGTCTAGCCACCCATGGGTGTCCTATGCTGCCCCAATTGGTGGTGTGGGGGGCGGTGCTGGCCTCCCCACCGCCTGGCTCAGTGCAGCAGGCCCTGGCCCTCGGTCTGCCCCAAGCGGGAGTTTGATTTTCCTACCCTGTGGTGAAGCCAGCACAGGTGGGTGGGGGGTTTCCTGCTGCAGGCACGAGGGCAGGGCAGCCTCTGTTGCCCAGGGCAAGGGAGGCAGGGGCTTAGCGGGACGAAGGCTCACCCGACATGCTTATCATCAGCGTTATCCGTACTTTTAGTTTTTTTTAAGTTGAGAAATTTTCTACAAGTGTCAAACTAGACAAATGACAGTATCCAGTTCCCCCACCCAGGCCCAGCCGTTGCTCCCAGCTGTCAGTGTAGAAGATTGTCAGCATCTCACGTCCGTGCTTTTACTCGCCCCTCCCCACGTCCCACCTCGCCCTGCACCCCCTGAGCAACCACGGCCAGGACCTTGTCACATGGATTTGTTTCCTCTGAATCTGCACGATCGGTTTTTGAGTGTGACTGAAGCTGTGTCCCGCTGCGTGTATTGCTGTGTGGCTGGCTTTCCGCTCTGTTTTCTGTTCATGAGTGCTGTCCAGGCTGAATGCTGTCCTGTGATATTGGTTTAAAAGTTCAGGCCAGGTGTGGTGGCTCATGCCTATAATCCCAGCACTTCGGGAGGCTGAGGTGAGAGGATCGCTTGAGCCCAGGAGTTCAAGACCAGCCTGGGCAACATAGTGATACCTGATCTCTACCAAAAATAAAACAATTAGCCTGGCATGGTGGTGGCACATGTCATTGTCCTAGCCACTTGGGAGGATCACTTGAGTGCAGGAGTTCAAGGCACGGTGGCCTGGGTGGCAGAGAGCCTATCTCTAAAAAATAAAACATAAATCGATACATAAACATGTTCTCCTGAGGGGAGAGGTTGCCCAGTTGTCCCGTGCTGACTGCTTCGCGCAGCCCCCTGCTCTGCCCCTCACTGTGTCAAGTCTCTTTGGCCTCAGTTTCTCCATCTCTAAAGGAGGCGGGAGAGGCCAGGCGAGTGTTGAGTGAGATGAGGAGGCCCTTGTGGGGGGACATTCCAGGACTCTGGGTTACTCCAGCCTCTTCTCACCTCTGACAACCCGGTGTCGGGGGTGGTGTCTGTGCTGGGGATGTGGGCATGGGGCCCGGGCGGGGACGAGGGTGGGGTTTGGTGATGGGGCGTGGGTGGTCACCCAGCTTTGCCTTTCTCCACAGGCTCCTGAGGACACCGTGAGCCAACCAGGCCTGGCCGCTGGGCCTGACCGGCCCCCCAGCCCCTACACCCCGCTTCTCCTAGATTCTCCCAGCGGACAGCCCCCCAGCCCCACAGCCTGAGCCTCCCCGCGGCCCGTGCCTGTTAGACACCTGCACACATGCCCTGGCACATGCACACACGCGCGTGCAGACATGTGCAGACACACTCAGGGATGGAGCTGCTGCTGAAGGGACTCGTAGGGAGAGGTGCGTTGACAAGCACTATTCTGGAACCTTCTCTCCATGTGGCCCACAGGCCTGACCATGGGGGCTGTGGGCACTGCGTCCCCTTCCTTGGTTGAGCCTGGCCTGTCCCGTTCAGCCGCTGGGCCCAGGCTTCCTTCCCTTCAGGGTGACACTGCCACCCCGGTGTGGTGGCTCCCCATGCAGGTGGGCCAGGCTGGGAGTGCCAGCTTCCTGTGCCAAATTCAGCACTCAAATTCAGCACTCAGGCCCTGGCCAGGAGCTTTGGCCTTGGTCCACCTGCCAGGCCAGGTGAAGCACCTTCACACAGGCCTCAGAAAACAACAGGGTGAGCACAAGATGCCCCACGCAGCTGCCTGGGGGTCCCCACCCACCCTGGCCAGACTTGGATCTCCCCGAGGTCTGCACAGGCACGGCGTCGGGTGTCTGGCGTTGTTTTCCTCCAGCCTAAACTGACATCATCCTATGGACTGAGCAGACCACTCCGTGGCCGAAGTGGCAGTGGGGCTGTGCCCCCGAGATGCCCCCACCCCCACACAGGATCCCTCAGATTTTACGTGCCCAGGTTGAGGTGGAGAGGCTGGGGGCCCTGCCTGCCGGGCACTCCTGGACCCTGGGGGAAGCCTGTGACCCTTTTCTACTGGAAGAGAAATGAGTTTTATCATCTTTGAAAAATAATTCACTATTGAAGTAATAAACCTTTAAAAAAACTGGACGCCTGCCTCCGTGACAGCCTTGTCCGCTGGGGTCTGTCGGGGGGTGGCCTCTGGGAGGTTCTGGGCTCCTTCCTGGGGGCTGCCAAGAGCGTCTCTCCCAGGGCCAGGCTGCCGGCTTCCCTTCCTGTTGTTTTTAAATTTCAACCTTGTGCAATTTCGAGTTTCGTATAAATTCTGCATGACTCCGCCCTTGTTTAGGGGCAGCAGGGTCTGCGTCTCCCCTCCGACCCCCGACCATGCCCACAGCCCCCCGTGCAGATGCCTTTGCCACTTTCGAATGGGGCCCTCTGGATGTGTTTCTGTGCATTTATCTACACATCCTGGTGCCCGTGGGGCATGCCCCGAGCTGTTCTAGGCCTTTGCTTTTTGCTCGTTACATAAATGGTGAAGAAGAGAAGCGGGTGAGAGAACAGATCGGAGCCATTTTCTCCTGCTGTCGTCATCACTGATGATTTAATACGAGCCCACTTCATCACTATTTAAATGTGCTTTTAAACCTTTGATTAATCACTCTTGTCTGCAACCTAAACTTTTTTTTTATTTCTTGTGACCATCAAGGGTAAGTTTTTTTGGTCTGGATCTGCCATAACAAACTTCCCATCAAGGCTGGGCATGGTGGCCCACGCCTGTAATCCCAGCACTGTAAGAGGCCAAGGTGGGAGGATTGCTTGAGGCCAGGAGTTCAAGACTAGTCTGGGTGATATGGCGAGACCCTCGTCTCTACCAAAAAACAAAACAAAACAAAACAAAAAAATCAGCCAGGCATGGTGGGCACACACCTGTGGTCCCAGCTACCCTGGAGGCTGAGGTAGGAGGATTCTTGAAGCCAAGAGGTTGAGGCTGCAGTGAGCTGTGATCGTGTCACTGCACTCCAGACTGTGAGACAGAGCAGGACACTGTCTCAAAAAGAAAAAATACCATCAACAGGTGGCTTACACCATTTATTTCTCACAGCTCTGGAGGCTGGAAATCTGACCAGACTGCCAGCAGGGTTGGGTTCTGGCGAGGCCTCTCCTCCTGGCTTGCAGACGGCTGCCTTCCCTATCCTCACACAGCCTCTCCTTGGTGTGGAGTGGGAAAGAGAGAGGGAGAGCGAGAGCTCTGTGGTGTCTTCTTTTCGTTTTTGAGACAGAGTCTTGCTGTCACCCAGGCTGGAGTGCAATGGCGTGGTCTTGGCTCCCTGCAACCTCTGCCTCCTGGGTTCAAGTGATTCTCCTTCCTCAGCCTCCCGAGTAGCTGGGTGGGATTATAGGCACCCGCCACCACGCCTGGCTAATTTTTGTATTTTTAGTAGAGATGGGGTTTCACCACATTGGCCAGGCTGGTCTCGAACTCCCGACCTTGTGATCCACCCACCTCAACCTCCCAAAGTGCTGGGATTACAGGCATGAGCCACCGCGCCCGGCCGGTGTCTCTTTTTCTGAAGATGCTGATCCTATCAGATCAGGGCCTCATTTAACCTTAATGCTTTTCTTACAGACCCCATCTCCAGACACAGCCATACTAGGGGTTAGGGCTTCAACAGGAATTTTGGGTCAACAAAACATTTAGTCTATACCATCTGGATTGCCTTTCAACTCTCACGACACAATTGATCAAAACTATATCCCTGTATTTTATGTTACATGCAAGGAAGCAAAATTTTATGGGGATGCATGTCCTTTTGGTATGAATTTTATGTATGTTATCATTTACAGATTAGAGCTCTGTGTGTGTGTATAATTCCATGAATTTTGACATGTGGATAGAGTTGAGTCATTACCCCTTCAATCAAGACACACAACAATTTTGTCATCCCCCAAGATTCCCTCATGCCTTCTCTCTCTCTCTCTTTTTTTTTTTTTACTGTGGACTGCCATGATTTTTTTTTAGACAAGTCTCACTCTGTTGCCCAGGCTGGAGTGCCGTGGTTCGATCTTGGCCCACTGTAGCCTTACACTCCCAGGCTCAGGAGAAGCGTCCTGACTTAACCTCCCAAGTAGCTGGGACCACAGGTGTGTGCCATCATGCCTGGCTAATTTTTAGGTTTTTGTAGAGACGGGGGTCTGGCTGTGTTGCCCAGGCTGGTCTCAAACTTTTGGCTTCAGGTATTACTCACACCTCAACCTCCCAAAGTGCCAGATTACAGGCGTGAGTCACTGCGCCCAGACTGTGTCCTGCGCTGCCTTCCTCTCACTTTGTAGGGAAGCTCCCACCCCCATGCTTAGCCCTTGGCCACTAGCTATTTTTACCTTTTCCAGAATGTTCTAAATGGCGTCTACAGCCTGTTGCCCTCTGAGCCTGGCTTCTTTCACTCAGCACCTTCTCTGGATGCACGCCTGTTGTTCCGTGTAGCAATAGTTCATTTCCTTTCCCTGCCGAGCAGAACTCTATGGGGTGCATGCATCACTGTTTTTCGGCCATTCACTTATTGAGGGACACTTAGAGTGGTTCCAGCCTTTGGCGGTTGTGTTAGTCCGTTTTCACGCTGCCGATAGAGACAACCAAGACCGGCTCAGTTTTAAAGAAGAAAGGTTTAACGAACTCACAGTTCCACATGGCCGGGGAGGCCTCACACTTACGGCAGAAGGCAAAGGACAAGCAAAGTCATGTGTTACGTGGTGGCAGAGGAGAGAATGGAGCTAAGCGGAAGGGGAGACCCCGTATCAAACCATCAGATCCTGTGAGACCTATTCACGACCACAAGAACAGCATGGGGGAAACTGCCACCAGGATTCAGTCACCGCCCACCAGATCCCTCCCACACGCATGGGAATTATGGGAGCTACAACTCGAGATGAGATTTGGGTGGGGACACAGCCACACCACATCAGCACCTATGAGCAAGGATGCTGTGAACGTTCACATGGAGGTTTGGGTGTGAGTGCACGCATTCCTTTCCCTTGGGTGTACACCCAGGAGTGGGACTGCTGAGTCACACCGGAGCTCTGCGTTTCAGTTCCTGGGGGCCTGCCAGTTTCACAGTTGCTGTACCAGGCTGCTTTCCCACCAGCTCTGCATCCTTGCCAGCACCTTGGTATTTTCAGTTTTGAAAAGCTGCAGCCTTTCGTAGTGGTTTCTCACTGTGGCTTTTATTTGCTTAGAAATACGTCGTATCATGAGATGAGTGGGACTTCCTCCCCACCCCCAATTACTTTGTGTATTCATGAACAACTGCCACATATTGCTAGAATGAGACCAATTTTCGCCATCAATTCTTTGCTGCTTAAGTGCAGAGAAGCCTTGTTTTCGTGAAGTCGCTTGGAGTGGAATTCTTATACTCCTCTGGATAGTATGCGAATGTCACAGGGCCATCTGTCACTCGAAGCGATTTTCACTGATCTCCCAGCTGACAGATCCGTTTGACATTCTTCAGATTTGTAGAAAGCAGCAAAGTGGAAACCGCCGGCTTGCACAAGCACCTCTTACCCAATCTTTAGATGGGTTCCCGAAACCCACGTCCGGGAGTGTCCCTCTGATTGGGGCCAGAGGTCAGGGAGGCTCTGCCCAGGCTGAAGAGTGGAGAGGTGGCGGGTCTTGTGGCCTGGCCAGGGGACTGGCAGGCGGGTGACAAGCTCAGGAGAGAGTCCGGGCCCAGAGGATGGTTCCCATCAAACCCCCCATGTCTGATCCTTTGAGAAGCTGAGCCGAGCTTTGGTTACGTGATAGCTGCGGTGAGAATTTTGACTTAATCTGCGTATGCGACACACCACACACCGACCTCTTGCATCCACGTCTACCTGCTCATAAAACAGAAGAAAACTCAGTCTGAAGAAGTCATTCTTTTTTTTTTTTGGAGACAGGGCCTCACTCTGTCACTGAGGCTGGCATAATCACGGCTCACTGCAGCCTTGACCTCCCAGGCTCGGGGGATCCTCTCACCTCAGCCTCCCAAGTAGCTGGGATTATAGGCCTGTGCCACCACATCCGGCTAAGTTTTTTTGTAGAGATGGGGTTTTGCCATGTTGCCCAGGCTGATCTCCAACTCCCAGGCTGAAGTGATCTGTAACAGGCTTGAGCCACAGCGCTGGCCATTCATTCATTCTTGTGTGTGTGGTGTGTGATGTGTGTGTGGTGTGTGTGTGGTTGTGTGGTGTCTGTGGTGCATGGTGTGTGGTGTGTGTGATGTGTCTAGTGTGTCGTGTGTGTGGTGTGTGGATGTGTGGTGTGGTGTGTGTGTGGTGTGTGTGTGGTTGTGTGGTGACTGTGGTACATGGTGTGTGGTGTGTGTGATGTGTCTAGTGTGTCGTGTGTGGTGTGTGGATGTGTGGTGTGTGTGTGGTGTGTGTTGTATGTGTGGTGTGTGTGTGTGATGTGGTGTATGTGTGGTGTGTGGTGTATGTGTGGTGTGTGTGGTGTGTTTGGTGTGTGTTGTGTGGGGTGTGTGTGTCGTGTATGTATGTGTGGTGTGAGGTGTGTGTGGTGTGTGGGTGTATGATGTGTGGTGTATGTGTGGTGTGAGGTGTGTGTGGTGTGTGGTGTGGGGTGTGTGTGGTGTATGTGTGGTGTGTGTACATGTGGTGTGGGGTGTGTGTGGTGTATGTATGGTGTATGTGTGGTGTGGGGTGTGTGTGGTGTATGTGTGGTGTGTGTTGTGTGTTGTGTGGGTGTGTGTTGTGTGGTGTGTGGGTGTGTGGTGTGTGTGGTGTGTTGTGTGTGTTGTGTGTGGTGTGTGGGTGTGTGGTGTGTGTATGTGTGTGTGGTGTGGGGTGTGTGTGGTGTATGTATGTGTGGTGTGTGTGTGTAGTGTGTGGTGTATGTGTGGTGTGTGTGGTGTGTGGTGTGTGTATGTGTGGTGTGTGGTGTATGTGTGGTGTATGTGTGGTGTGTGTGGTGTGTGGGTGTGTGGTGTGTGTATGTGTATGTGTGGTGTGGGGTGTGTGTGGTGTATGGTGTGTGTATGTGTGGTGTGTGTATGTGTGGTGTGTGTATGTGTGGTGTATGTGTGGTGTGTATATGTGTGGTGTGTGTATGTGTATGTGTATGTGTGGTGTGTGTATGGTGTGTGGTGTGTGTATGT